TAGTATCGTTATGGTGGTGGTTGTTGCTTTGATTATTGAAATAATATATAGATGTTTTTTATTTTCACTTTTTCATTGGCAATAGTGAAAGACAATCAAATGCGAGTAGAGGAGGAAATTCTAGTTAGTAAGGGCATTCTGAGTAAGTTGAAGGATTCACATGGTGGTTTTGCCTTAAAATTTTTGTAAAAGCGTGTTTTTTTTTTAGATTAGTCAGTTTTTTAGTCTGCAGATCTTTTTTCAGGTATCTTACTTGATGGAGCATATCGATTACGAGTTGCTAATGGTGATGTAGATGTGTTTATACCGGGACCACTTCGATTGAGTGGTCGGGATTTTGATGAAGAAGAGGCAATATGGAATCAGTATCCCTGCTCTGTTGGGGAAGACCAATTCAATCCTTACGACCCACAGCCCGGTAAAGAATGCATTTCAAGGTACATTAATTTTTGACTTTTCTAGTTAATTTAGTCTGAATATTTCTTTTCAAATGAAAGCTTCTGTTTTATAAATATAATTCATTGTTTACTAGGCGATGTTATGGATGGAGTGTACCAGCGAAGAAAAGAGTATTTATCGAAGGCGACGTTCGGATTGATTTTTATGCGAAGAAGTGGTTTAAAGGTCTGGGATGGACTTTGGTAAGACAGTTCTTACATCACTAACGTTTTCATTTGCTCATTTTGGCGATGTATCGTATTTACAGAAAGATCGAGAGAAGTTAGGACATGTTTGGTTCAATACAATGTTTACTTGCCCTGGATATTGTGGTGGAGTGTATATACATGGTGACGAGGCGTATCCTTATCCAAAAGGTGGAAGTAAGCAATTTTAGATTTTGTCTTTAGTAGCCTTTTTCCAGTTTATCATAACTGGAGGAGGTTGGGAAAAAAGTGTTCCCAAATCTGAATGTGTCTGAGCTCGAAAGAATTAACTTATTTTAATTAAATGAAATCTAGCTTCACTTTTCAATAAATTTGCATTTAGCAACGATATTCAATCCATGGCCGCCTGTCGATTCTCGATCTTGCGAAACAACAAATGGTATTCTTAAAAATATTCCCCAGTGTTCTGATGACAGTCGTAGCAAGAGAAGGAAACGGCTTGAGAAGAAATCCCATCTGAAAAACGAATGGCCAGGTAATTATGATTATTCCTTGATCATTCAACATTTTGCCGAATTTTCATCCTTTGTATGATTTTTGTTGACCAAAAATAAATTAGTGATTAAAAAGATTTGCAGTATCGAATCAGTGGAATATTGATTCTCCTCCAGGACTTGAAAAGCATTGCCCTCTTCGGTGTTTGCCTCTCATATATCCTAAACATCTCGGACGAGAACCGTTTGTTTTATACTTTTTTTTTTCAAATTGAGAGCTAGGTGGATGGTATGTTAATAATATGTAGAAATCATATAATTTTTGCTTCAAGTAAAGGTGATAAGAGAAATATAAAGTAACTCGAAAATGAAAGAGATTCGAATAGTTTCAATGCAGAATGTATAACGTTTTAGTCCACGAAAAGAAATCATGACGGTGTTGCGTGATGCGCACATAAAACACTTGATCAACGACAAGTATAAGAAGCATCTTCAATCAGTCCCATCCGGAGGTGCTATCCCCAGAAGTCCTGAAGGTTATTTTATTTATTCCAGTCTAAAAAATAAAAAAAAATATGATTTTACAGATTCATTTTTCAAGTGCATTTCGAAAATACTCCACTTTCAGTCAGGCTAGACTGCGGAGGGCCCATGTGTTTGATGCGTCAACCCTACGAACATGTCCTAACATTCAGCGTTCTGGAAGTGGATCAAGCTTTTAAGCATGATAAAGTGAATAAGGGCTTAAAAGTAAGACGTTCATTCATTTCTGTAATTTCTATGTAATTGTTGAGGAATATGAGAATCTGTGTTAATGGCTGTTTCCTTTGCTCCTGACACTTTGTTTAGATATATGTAGTGGTAAGGTGTATTGATGTTGACAACAAGGACGATGTCGAATTGGCAAAAAAATTTATCGAAAATATGTATGCAACACAAGCAAAAATCGATGCAGTTAGAACGGAGAAGGTTAATTCTCTTAAATGCTACCGAGGAAGTATATTTATAGTGTTTTAATTTCCCCTGAAAAAGTACTAACATTGCAGATGCGAAGAAAAAGTGGAAAATCTAGACTTGAAAGCCTCTCTGACAGTACATCATCACATTCATCAAGTTCTTACTCAACAGATACTTTATCTGACCAACCTTGGCGATATGACCCACGCTTACAGAATGCTAATTTACGTAAATATTTCTTCAGACAACGAGCGGATTCGAAATCGGTCCATCCTCCGGCGAATTATCGGTATATTTTATATTAATTTATTTTGTAGTTAGAATAGACAGTGCTTTTCATTGCTATTATTTGATTGGGGTCACTTTACAACCGAGTACTTGTTTCTTTATTTTTGGTCAATTTTTTAGTGATATTTTCTGTGAACATTATATGCATGGAGGTTGAAGACTCTAGATAAAATTATTTTTAAAGCGTCACTTAAGCAAGTTGAAGATAAAGGCATACATTACTGAATCCCTTTATAGGTGTATGCCCACAAAAGCTGATTCTTCATCTTTGGGTTTATGGGAGACTGGTCTAAAAAATCACTCTGGTAGTGATTCTTTGGACGAGGAAGAAGCTACGATGGTAAGCTTAGAAAATTGATGAAAAAAATGTGACGTAATGAATGATGTTTCCCAGCTTGCATTTATCTGGTCATTTTTTTCGGTTTGCAGGAAAAAGAGATTCAAAATGCAGATAGTGACTGTGCAAAAGAAGATTTTATAGCAACGCAAGATCGGGAATGGCTGGAAGAGTCATCCGAGGTCCGTTTCAATTGAGTAATTTGTAAGCTGTGGCTTCTAATTTTATTTTTCCCGCTCTAAAGTATTATTAGAATCATTGCCCTGGTAGAAGAGACACCATTTATTTCATTTTTCCTTGTTGTAAAAAATTTTTACCAACTTTTGAAATATTTTGCTTGCAGAGCGAAGATTGAGAGCACTTTTATTTCATCTCTCGGATTTACAACCCTAAAAAAAATTATGGATTATATTCTTAATAAGGAGAGGACGAAGAGGTGATTCTTACGCAGAATACGTATTTCTCGAGCTTAAGGTTGTGAGTGTTATTTATGCGCAGGGTATCATGTAGCGTTCGCTTGCTTATTGAATGTTGAGATTTTGTGTGTTTTAGAAGTTATCAATAATGATATAACAATCACAACTCCAGCTTTATGAGTTATAGATATTGATTTTGCAACAATTTACTTCAACGCTCATTAAGACAATGTTTTTCTCGCGTTTGTAACCCAACTTTTTGTCGAATTATTTCGTTGATTTCTATCTGGGAAGAGCTTATTAGCCGAATTTAATTCAATTTTTTTTGTAATTTTTTGTTGTAGTAGAATTCCTCATTGTATGATTTTTTTGATATCAGATTTTCTCATTGGTGTATGTTATAACGCTAGTTTACTGCCAGTTTAGGTCTACTTTTCTAGTCATCAGCGTGAACGGAGCAATCATTCTGCATGTTTTCTATAGCCTTCTTTAAGTGAACGAAGCCCATTCAATAGATCAGTTGTGTATCCTTGCTTTCTTCATTGTATTCCTAAGCCGACATTTCTTCTATATATTGTTTTTCAAGTTTTTCTTCCTTGTTTTTCTGGAACAGGATTCCGCTGCAGTTGTGATATCTCTTGCTGCTTAGCCATGCATTTCAACATTAGTTTTATTTTGTGTGAATTCCAACTGAAACTTAGCTCCAGTAATTTGCATGTTGTTAGCATTGATTATATTATGATTTCGAACTGTTGCTACCGATGTTTCATTATAATTGTGCTTAATTTTTGTTATTCTTTGTTGCAGCATTTGGGAATGAGTTCCAGTCTGCCCCTAATGTTCGCTCATTCTGGTTCGTTTACCAGTCCAGCAGGAGTTCCGTCTGTTCTGGAGATAACAGCATTAGAAAAAAATAGTTAGAGAAGGATATCTACTGAAAGATATCCACAATGTAGTGAGGACTTAATTTTTGACTAGACGCTAAAAATACCATAAGCATATCATTGAGGAAAGTTCCGAACATGTAGTTTTCGATGTCCCTTAGCTGATCGTGGGCAATTAGACAAACGGAAACCTGCTGGAGAGATTCATTGTTATCATTTTCAAGGGATTGCGCTTCACCTGTAGAGGAGGAAGTGGATGATTCGATATTGATCTGTGCGTGTTACGGTACTGCCATTATAATACAAACTGTATTGCAATAAATGAAAATAATTTTGAAATGATCAATATTTCAACTTTTTAAATTTATATTTCTCGTAAAAGAAAGTTGATTTTCCATTAGTTTGCGTGGAAGAAGTTACCGTCTTCTGACTACACCGTAGCGTTCTTCGCTTGTGACTCACTTCTGATTTTCTTCATGAATTGCGACGTCAGTTAATCCTTGTCTTTTTATCACAACTTCGAGCACTTTGTAGGTACTATTCTATTTCAGGAAATTTTGTTTGTCTCACAAGTACCTTAGATCACTTCATTTCCATTAATGTAGCATAACTTAATAAAGCAACAGTAGACGACATTAATTCATAGGGGAAGCAGTGGAAAAGGAGAGAAAAAGGTGCGAAGTAGATTCCTGATATAACCTTCGAAAAAATTCGAGTGGACGATAAGAAAATTCTAACTTGGGACAAATACTTCACTTTCGGTACTAGGCCAACATAGATAACGCCTGAAACGGCAAGTAGGATCTATGTGTTTTTTCCCTCATAAATCAATATTCTCTGCTTATTCTTGATGTACTTTATAATATTTTAAACCGGTATATTCTGGTTCTATCAGAGATATGCATATCACACTACAGAGATTTTCGTTACGAAACAAATTTTAAAAGGAAAGATTAAATACAATTAAATACATAAGTCAACATAATGACACACACACACTCTTTGCCCATTCTTGACAATTATAACACATCTGGATAGCATGGAACGAACTGTTTGATGCCATGTCCCAAACGACTGAACGTGTAAGCAAGAGTGCCCGCAACTGCTGAAATTGCTAGCGAACCTGTCATGCAATATATTGCCGAGGTTACAAGTATGATTTTCGCAACCGCTGCCTAAAATTTATTGCAGAACTGAATGAAGGAAACTCCATTGTGGGATCGACTCAGTCACTTCAAAAACAAATCTGAACCTCCCACGTTACTACTATCGACGACATGGCGAAGCTGGGAGAAAAGAAGTTCCAACTTAGTAATTAATCTTACCTGGTTGCTTTCTTTCAAACCATATCTGCAGTATTTCGCAAAATGTTCACAATTATTTAGCAGGAGATTGTAGTCAGTTTTCCCAAGCTACAATGTTTAATATAAACTGGTGCTTTATAATATTTCACTGGATAATTAATGAACTACTTACTTTGCTATGTATGTTAATGACTGCAACAGAAATAATCAAAAATAAAATAATTATAATTGAGTAAAGCATACCATAAGTAGAGCCCGATCAACCACAATAACTGGTGGGAACGGCCGTTTCTCCTTATCGAGTGAATTATTTATCCGACAGCTATCACCGTTGGCAACAGTTATTAGCTCGTCACGACGAATCTGAAATACGCTAATGGTCGAAAATTCCAAATGGTCTTTTTTGATTCAAGCGGATTTAACTGCAATTTCAACTTCCATTTATGCACTATATCTCTAATGAACAGTAATTTTCTATTAGGCTGTAAAGTATGACCTCAAAACTTTTCAGTAATGTAGAAATAAATCTGTTTTACGCAGAATGTCGTCAAAACTTGGGCTTTCAATTTCGACCACTTTGACAGCAACAAATCAAAACCATATGAGTCTTTTCTACATGGAAAAGTATTTCAAAGATTATAAAGTACTGGACAAAATAACCTGTATTTGATTACTACATGACACTTTTGCTTTAAGAGTTGCCAATGATTCAACGGAATTGCTGATAAGGCTATTGCCAAAATCGCCGAAATCGGTTCCTGTATGAGCAACGTATGCTTTTTTGTCGTGAAAACCAATAAACACTCCCCAGTGCTTAAATATTTCAACCATGCAACAATATAAAATTAAAGAAAAATACATGAGTAGGAAAATAGCATAGAAACACAATACATAACCGCTCACGCTTGCTTTTCTTGTTATGGAAAGTTACAAAAATTGTTTAAAATGTATACCACAATACACTTAAATGTTAAATGAGAATTAAAACTACCAGATAGAGCTGGCATATAGACGGGTAAGTGTACTTCGTGAATCACTTACGCCAACTCAATGGGAACAAAAAAAGGAAGAAACAATTATAGCAATCAAATTAAGAATGAATTACCGTATAAATGCGCCGTTTTATACTACCGACGACACGTCGAAACTCGATCAAATCGCCGATTTCTAAGTGGGAACAAAGTCTCTCCGCATGCATCCAGTCAGTAACCAGTTCACCTGGTCCCAACATGCTCAAAACATCTGGAGTAAATCATATACATGTCAATGTCGCTTCCCATTAACTGGCAACCACACCTTTCGAATGTTCCTAGCTGCTAGGATGAAAACTACGACAGCTCCTCGATCGATAAATGACTATACTTGCCAGTCGTCAGGTCGAAATCAATTCAGTATCTGGGAGAAGTTGCCGTTCTTTTTTTTGTTAACAACCATCAGAGATTTTCACACACCCAAACGTCTCCTTCTCTTTCTTTTTTAACCAGAGAGCTTTCTTGCTTTTAAGTAAAAAGAAAAATTCATTGATGTATTGGAATAAAGCAGAAAGACTCATTAAAAAATGCACCCTTAACAACGACTGAAGAAAATTAACATTATTCACAAATTACACATATAGCATAATAATACTAATCCTACATCATGTATGTAGTTCTTACATCACAAGGACTTCTAGACATCAACTACATCATCTCTGCATGATACAAACAATATCCGAACAAACTTTTTCCAGATTTGAATTGATAATAAAAACAATTTCATTCAAAGTAACTATCAATAAATCGAAAAATATCTTCAACTGCTACTGCCGAAGTTTCTTCATGTTGATTAGTTCCCGCACTGACATAAGTCACATAAGGATACTTTCCATGTATCGTTCTGTTGTCTATCTGAAGTCCTATTTCAGTATGCGGAGTTGCTCGCCAATCCCGTATTGCTGGCAGCCAATCCATATTAGTGACAGATGGTAAGGTGAATACAGCATCCGTAAGACATATACACTTCAGTCTCTTCATCCACTCCTTTGACCAATAATTTTCTATCTTCAATTAAAAACTACTTGCAACAGGATAAAAAAGCAAAAAAACGATTCTTAAACGATTTCTCAAACGAATTCAGCAAGATTTGTAAAAGCTTACAATGCCAGCGATAACAGTTCCTCCAGCGCTGTGTGCAACCACTGCAATTGATCGTGCTTTCGCTTTGGTAATGTATTTTTCCCATACAGTAATACCATGTTCTATGGGCGTCCTACTTCCCTGCAATAAATTTCATTTGCAACAGCAATAAATGATAACACAGTTCGCAATTATTATAGCAGACAATTACTCTCTGAACTCGACCATTTATCAGATCTTCTGAGAAACGTTCATGACTGCATTTGTGACCTTTTATTTGTTGAAAGCAAAGGAAAAGAACCAACTGGCAGTGCTTCAAAAGGATCGCTGTCAGTTACGTTCATGTTGGTATTCATCACAACCACTCCCCAATCCCGACTTTTGCAGATTCGCAAATATGGCAATTGTGAGCCCATATTTAAGCTTTTATTCATTATAAGCCTTAAAAAGACTAAATAATTGCAATTCCGATAAATTTGGTAATGAGCAAAAAGGAAAAAAAAATTGCTCAAAACACTTGAAAGTTGGTAAATCATGATTTAAGTTCACGAGAACCCCTCGGTGGCGCTATGATACAGTCTGCAAATGCTACCATGCAAATATTTACCTTCTGCTCCACTGCCCTGCACGAACAGCACCACTGCCATGTATAAGTACAACAAGATTTTCTTTCTGATACCAATCTTTGCTAAGAAAAATGAATGCACTTCTTTTCTTGTCCGTATCGTCCAGCTACAGAAAAGTAGTAACGAATCATAGTGATAAGTACATTAATTTCACTAACATTCTTCTGATATCTCAGATAATAATCCTTTCCCTTTCTTCAAGAGAGCTGAATAGAAAACCTTCAGTTATTTCCTTATTTGTTCTTTAAATAATTTTTGGAAGCATCAAGAATACAAAAGCATACATACTGCCTTTCCATGTTATATGGCGGATTTTCCATTATTCGATAAATTTCTTCAGTGACAGCTAGAGCGATTTTCTCGTAACTTTCTTGATCAGTGAACTCAAACCCTTTCTCATTCTGAAACAAAAGAAGAAATTATCACTTTCAAATCGCAATCCTGACCACGAACCTTTCACATCAGCATTAAACTAAAATATACTTGCAAATCCCAAACATATTTTCATATGATTTTTTATCAATTTCTATCCCATAATTAAAAAAAAACCTTAAAAGTAATTAAACCAAACCTTATCTCTCATAACACCATGATCATCAAAATAGTAACCGAGTGCTTCCAGGTTTGGCTGTTTCACATCTTCCAGCTCAGAACTAGTAGTTGCTTCTGGAAACTTTACTTTTTCACAAAAAGCATGTAAGGAATTTGACATTATTATAAATTACTTTTCATCATGACACTATGGCATTATTACGAATTCGACATTACAAATTATTTCCCGCAGAGAAGTAGCCAGCAACAATTTAACTTCGTGATAAAACAAAAGCATGTAGATATTCGTAGTTAAATTGAATAAAACAAAACTCAATGAACAGCAAAAAATTGAAGGAATACGAAGAGGATTATTGATGGAATGTTTGTCACAATATAAATTCTTTTTATATTTAAGCACATTACTTCCTTGGACGCGTTTCATTCTATGGCGGGTTTGTTATATGAATATCTTTCAAACAAACATTTGATTTAGAATGAAATTTCAAATTAAGTGACTTGCCAGATTGTAAACGCAATGGATTCATGTTGTAGCAGTGGTAACCAACAGATTTCGCTTTACCGTTGAACTATAGAAGAAGCACTTCAAATTGATAAAAAAAGGAAGCAAAACAGCTACCATCACAAACAGCGCCCAACCTATCAACCAGTCATTTAATTAGAACTTCTGAGAATACGATGAGAATTTATGCTCCACCTTTCGAAATAATTCTTCCGTGTCAAAAACGAAGCAAATCACTCCACGCTCTGATCATTCAGTGAGAAGACGAAAATCCTGATCACTTTGATGAATGGATGTCAGATTCAGACCACGCAAATATGAAATTCTTTCTTGATACTGACTTTATTATCAACGATGACGCATATTTATTCATTTCTTTCAAATCTCATGAATTAATTTTAATTCAGCATTTAATCTACGATTGGTCACGTGAACTTTAATTGTTTTTTTTTTATGTTTAAGCAGTTGAACTAGCAGTTTAATGAACTGTACGCTCATTTTTCTATAGTTGTTGCATTCCGGAAGAATTTGTACAATTAACTTAATCTATATTCAAATAGATTATGCAGTAAAAGATGAAGGAAGTATTATTACTTTTTATTGAACTGAATGAAATGCAAGGAACAAAATGAATACGGCAAACAAGGAAATGGTTGGTGCAAATCATCAATATGAAATACAAAAATCAATTTTTATCTGTAGTTCAATGTTTTTCAACGTAATTGCCTGGAAATGTTCCAAATTGACCTGTTCGTGGTGAAGTACCTGCAAAATTCGTTGTTACTGTAAAACTGTTTGGCAACTATATTGTGAATATCAAAAACTATCCTTGAAGGCCATAAAAATGCAATAACAATGACTAATTTCAAAGAGGGAAATGATTTTGAACTATTATTTCCACAACAAATCGGTGTTTTTATACCTTTCATTTTCTAATAGTGGCAACACGATTGATTAAATGTTAAATATCATGATCTTTTCCAAATATTCTATGTAAAAATCAAATTTTTCTACGATTTAAAAGAAGATAAGAGTTCCAACTAACCAATGAACCAACCATCATCACATTTTTCAATAACAAAAACAATATCATTTTCTTGGAGTTCAAGCTCGTCCGCATTTCTTGGTTTGTAGGCATATAGGACCCGATAACTGGAATGAATAATCATTTTTAGTCTTATAGCATCACTTTAATCAGTCTGATTATATACGTCAACATTTCTTCGTGAAACATTCTAAAAAGTTAAATTAAACATTCCTTGACTTCTTCGAAAATCAATATTCAGCTTGAATCGGTTTGATATATCGATTTAATCTTTCATTGTTGGATGAGTTATGGTAATAAGTCTAATCTCAGGTCAATTTACCGTTTATTTACTTTTCCACCCACAATGAATAAGTCTTATCAAATATCGTAGTAAAATGAGAGGTAAGATAAAAATTAACGTTTCCGCATTTTTGGGAACCATGTTCGCCGATCCAGAAAAGTCTCTTTGACTGTGTCTTTTCTGGCATTCTCCCATTTCGTCTCCTTGATCTGTCTTTACTGCTGGATTTTCGTCTCTATAAATACAAAAATGTGTTTAAATGAGTAACATAAAAGGGATTCATTCCAAGAAAATGAATTTTATTTGTCATATTATATTACATATTTCAAAAATTAAGCGGAAAACAGTTGAATAATGAATATGAAATGTGTCAGTATGTCAATCTATTTGATAGTGAAACGGAGGACAGACGGAATTTCCTTTTTCTCATAAATTTTCTGTTCCTGTTCCAACGAAATGCAATAAACACCTCATTGTTGCAAGTGAAGCTTATTTCAGATCTCTTTCTTAATTAAATTATTGGCAATTTTGGATCATATATGGTTCATTCAATGTTGATGATAAATAATTATAATGAAACAGAAATTAAAATGAGTTTTACTCATGATATGAAACTGGCATCATAAAGTTAATGAAATTGCTTGTTGAGAACTGATTGAGGGAAATGGAAATGAGATATGAAATATTAAAAAATCTTTGGCCATCTAATAGTGTACTTAATTGATTTAAAACTAAATATATCAAACTAAGTCAAATCCTGATTAACTTGATAGTTCTTAGTTAAACTAGCAGTGATCTCGTTGATCATAACGAGTTATAATAATAAGCATACAAATAAATTCAGTAGTCTGACAAAAAATGACGGACGATTCGGCTCGATGTACAAGAAACATTTGGCTGGTGTATCTTCAAAAATTGTCGGTAATTGATTCGGTAAATCAGCAGTTGTTCCTTGCCAGAAACCTTCGATAACAGTATCTGATAAAGTATCCATAAATGTATGCCAAGCAAGCAATACGGGTATACTGTAATGTTTTACCATCAGATAGTAAAGAATACGATTCTCCAGTAGTCTCCAGCAGTATCCATGATCAAAATTTATTGCACGCAAGATGCGTGCTAGCTGACGTCCGAATTTTTTGCATGCCCAAACACTATACATTGTATGATAACACTCGACAACCTGATCCAAAAATGTTACTAAAATAGTGTAAATTTGTTGCTCCACTGCATTAATTACGAAGCGTGGTCGGATAGCTAATGTTGTTGTTGTTGACTGCTGCTGACGATTATTTTCAGAAAAGTAAGTCTGGATTAAATCATATTGTGTTTGTCGACATATTCGAATTTTATTTCGTATTGAACGCCATGATGCTCGCAATGGATGTGCTGCTGCTACTGCTGGATGCATTTCACCGTATATTGTTGAAATGATGACGAAATATTCTTATTAATTTCAAGATATCTTTACAAGATATCTTTATCAATTAATTGTTAAATCGATATATGATCAGAAATATGCATAAACATTAACGATCATACTTCCCTTTACTTTATCCATAATTAAATTCAACCGGTAGTTCTGCAACATATACATCTTTTAAATAAAATTTGTGAAAACATTTTTAAAAAAACGTATGAAATTATAAATCATAGAATTTGGAAAATAAAATTTGATAATTCTCAAATTATCACAAATTCCGTACCATGATCGTAACTCATGGTTGTGTAACTACGAAACATTTTTATCAATTAGTTCTGTTTGAGAATGATGAAAGTTATTTTCCAAATTGAAATCATCTATTACAATTCAAATGACGATGATTATTCAAAAGTTAAAAGTGATAATTATTCAATCTGATTGGAAATATATTCGTTTAAAAGGTTATTAAAGCTGAATGCTTGAGCATAAAAAAATAACGATCAGGAAAGAATAAGTTGCTAGTAACTTTTAGCTACAAGTTGATCCTTAGCTGCTAGTTGACCCTCAAGTGTATGCTTTTTCTGACTAAAACATTTGATAAAGCTAAGAAAAAAACACATAAGGTCTAAATGATATTTAATAAATGAATAAAACAGAGAAGAGGTGGACACGATTTGTAATCTCTTCTGACGATCTATTTTCAATGTAAAATAAAAATATCACTTATCTATTCCATTAAATTAAGTTGAATTGTTCAAGATAAAAATAGATTCTAAACTAAATCATATTTTGAAAAAATAGATGGAAACCTTTGCCTGTCTGACTTCAAATTAAGAGGCAGATTTTAAGAGATTTAAATTATTGAAATGATTTTTTCTTCCTCTAATAGAAAATTTCATGTTGTTGAAAGCTTAGCAGAATGATCAATAATAAATGCTTTTAATGGAAAAAAGTTTTTAACTCAATTTTAGCCAAGATTAAGACCTCACAAAAAGTTTAAAGCTAAATTTAAACAAAGATACTAAACGAAAATACGGAGAAATTCATTTTCCAAAGCTTTCATTGTCGAATAGTAGCTTTGAAAAAATAAACAAGTGTAGTCTTGAAATGACAAATTACTCCTTTAAAGATTGCTGAAATTCGATTAATTTCAAAACAGCTTTTCAATGTTTACATTGGAAAATGAACTAACCACGCTCGCTTTATCAAATTGAGAAACTACTAAAGATAAAAAAACAGCCTCAGCAGTGTACTAATTTTTTACTTTACTATCCGAAAAAGTTAAAACATTGTTGTTCAATAACAATCCGATCAGTTTATTTCAGAAATATGACCCTTACCAATTTACAGATTATAAGATGAAGCCTCCAATGAATGATTCAATTTTTCTATATCTTATGATTGGTCCATCAACACGTTTACTATAATAATTCTGAACTGTTGATTGAAATGTGTTAAAATGGTATATACCTTACGAAAATTCTGTTATTCTACTGATGGCTTCTCTATTCAGTACCTTTGCAAGGAAAAATCTTATCATTGTTCAGCAGAGTGTATCACAGTGTACTAAAGTTTGAATAGAAGCGTAACGCTTCATTTATTATTATCAAAGAACTGTCAATTTTGTTACTGGTTAGAATAGCAGTTAACAAGTATTGTCTTTGTTCAAAACTTGCTTGCAGTGATCCATTCAGTTCAATTTCTTATAATTTAAAAGATTGCTATTGGGCAAATCAAAGACAGTAAGAAAGAAGCAATTTTACTTCAGTTAAGATAAAAAAGAGCACAGTGAAAATAAATCTATGTTTGGCTCATTTATATAGAATAAAATAAAAATTCTCAACATTAGCAAACTGCCAGATATACAAATGAAATGTGTTGTGTAATCGCTTTAAACAACATGCAAAAAGGATTTGATGAATTGTGCAAACAAATGCTTTCTGAAATTTTGTAAAGAAGACTGCAATTCATTAATCAAACATTTGATGAAATCTTTCATCAGAGAGATCCAAGGGATGAAAAAGTATGTACGTATGAAATTTCGGGGAGTTCTTGCATTGGGTTCAAAGTTCATATTCTAATATGCAATTACGCCTAACTGGGCAATATCATTGAATAAAATAGGATTGAAGCTAATCTAATACACTAAAAAATATGGAAATTCCTTTCTAACTCAGGTATCTTGTATGCAAATATATTAAGTGATTAATTTTATAGAGGAAAATTCCCTTAGTAATTATTTAATCTAAAGTGGGAAAAGACATCGTGAACCAAAATTAAGATAATTAAGATAATAATTTGATAGTAGCTTACATTAAGATTTTTTTTTCGCTTTTTATTAAAACAAAAAGTGACTACTAAAAACTGATAAGGCTCAAAAGAAGCAGTTAAGATTGTACTTTCAGGAAATGGAAATCACGAAATGCTTCCTGATTAAGTGATTTGATTTAGTAAATGTGAATGAGCAACGCAATAAGACAAGAAACTAATAAGACACAAACTTTTTTTACTTTCAAAATTTCAATGATAGGGTATTGCATTTAGCGCTGTGCTCTTTTTTTCTTCATCAAGTTTTCTTGAATTACATAAAAATTGAAATGATTTGCATCAGTGTGGCATCTAATAGAAGCATTTCAATGAAGTGTATCTATTGCCTAAAATATATCAAACGATCAAAACAAGTTTCTCAAGCAACCAATTGCCTATAAATGAAGTGATTCAAAGAAAAATTAATGATTAAGAATATCGGCATAGAATTTTTGAAAAACAAAATTGTTGATCGAAGGTCGTTTCAACAAATGCTATGCTTACTTGCTTGTTTACTCATTGCATTATAAAAAGTTCCACTTTTTTTAGCAATGATTATTCTATTAACTCTTCTATCTAACGCTCTAATATTTTATCAAAAAAGAAAAAAATGATTTTGTAGGTGATATTTATAAAGTCTAACAAAGTGTGAAATAAAACTCATTAAGTTATTTGATATATCAAGAACTATATGCCATTAATTTATATTAAATATGATAAGATAATAAAAATTATAGATTTACTTATTTAATCGTAGATGGTACCACATCGCTTACACTTATTACATTTTTTATAAAGAATTAAATTTTTTACATCTTAAGAAAGAAAATAAATGTAATGGAAAACTAAGATGCCATGGATAAGCTACCTGACTGCAATGGAAAACTAAAGATGCCATGGATAAGCTATCTGATTGGGTTCAATGAAGTAATACTCTAATTATTACTATTTTCAGCATGATTTATGAGAGAAAATTAACTCTCGTGGAAATTAAAACTGATATCTTTCAAAAATAATAATCTGACTATATATAGCAGTGATCTGATTAACACTAAAAATGTTTATTTTTTTCAAATTCTAAAAAGTTTCGAAAAAATACAGTAGAAAAATGAGATAAACCTGAATGGAGTAATACTGGTACGTGGTGTTTTAGGTCTATCCGGTATTACTGTTTCATTATTGTCATGCAGATTGACCTCACATGCTTCATGAACGTATGATTTAGGAAAAATTCCAGTTTTTCCATGAATATTTTTACCCTCAATCCAGTTGGCATCAATATTTCGTAAATAACGTAGCGTTTCACCCTATCAATGTATCATTTTTTTTTTTAATTTAAATATTGCACAATGAAGAATGATGACTTTAGTATTAAAAATTTGGATAGGTCATCGAATATTCATTGTTGGAATAAATAAATCAACAAGTTCAAAACAAGAACTATTTTAACAACCTTTTTTAGTGACAGCTCATTCTTATTTCTAGCGGAAAATGGATATAAAGCGATCAATTTGATTTGCCCGCACTCTTCATTATTATCAATCTTTAATTTACATTTTTAATTGTATTAATTCAAGTTTGCAATAATTTCAATAAATTAATTCTTATCAATCTATTTTTGCTTAATATCCTCGCCGATTTATTGTGAAGAAAAGAAAATACAATACAATTCGTGCATTAAACAGTAACAAACAACGCTTATCATTGGGACACTTTCCTACCGATATTTGATAAGTATGATTGGCTGAGAAAAATTTAAATAATTCTACATTAATTCTAGTTCTAAGTAATTCTAGTTATTCTAGTTATTTCAACGAAAACATGAATTTAGTTAATAAAAAAACGCTACTTGTACATAGGAAGAAGGAAAAAGGCCAATTTGGCCGTTGTGTTCGCCTTCCATCCAGTTGATATCAATTATGCGATACACCCGTATCACATCACCACGATTAAATGATAATTCTCTAAAAATAAAGCAACAAATTGTTGAGTATTTTATAAATTTTACCAATTTAGAGACAATTTTCAGAGAACAAATTGGAATTATTTGCAGTTAAATCAGTGAGATTTTATTTGATATATCGCTTTTCAAAATGATAATGTAGATGATCCTAAATTTTTTTGAAAGATTTTTATGAGATAATTGTTAAACATTTTTTTCATTTAATCCGTTAGTATGTAATTAAATATGACATAATTACTTACCGGGCGATTTGGAAAAAATTTTGAAATACAAGAAAGTTAGAAGAATGAAAAAAAATCAAAATCGAAAAGTTGCTATTAAATTAGAATGATTAGATTAAAGTATTACTTGGGACTAATAGCTTTGAAAGAGAAAAGTGCAGTACAAGTCATAATTTCTGGTTGTGACATTGTTTGAGGTGTGGTAGCGCGTTCTGGGCGTCCAAATTCGTTAATCAACCCACTGAAGCGATCAAAATTTTTCTGGAGGGCCGGAAAAGCAGAAGGCCTGAAAATGTCACCCTTCACTAGCCATAAGTCTTTCACTATCGTGAAATATCTCCATAGCAAATAATATGAAATGCATCAAGAATATCCCTAGATTTTATCACTGCCTAATTTAAGAGCACATTATCATCACCAATTATCACTTAAAACTTAAATCAATCTAGCTTATTATCACCGTATATCTAAAAACAACAACAACTAAACTATCAGTTATACCTGTCGGAAACAAGTCTAACTTTTAACATGATCATAACTGAAGAACTACTATATCAAGTATCATTCCCTCCATGATAAAATATAATCGGACCTACTTAATACTTCACAATCGAAACTAAAAGTGTGTTTTAATGAAATAATGAATGAACATCTCATGGAACATAGCCGTTTAGCAAAAGGTAGTAAGATATTAGTGGAAGAGCAATAACAACTAACACATATCCATGCCGTCGATTTCTCTGTTGCTGCAATTCTTCGGAAAGCTTCTCAACTTTCTGCCGGATGAGAACTTCATGTTTCGCGAGCTTTTTTATCTCGGCTACATCACCGAGTGATTGACCATTCACTTTTGACCTATCTAATAATTAATACTACAGTTGAAACACCAGCATTTAAGAAGGAAAAACCGAAAAATACCCTCAATTTCTGACTATCGAAAGATGAATTGCTCTTGGCAAGCAATTTCTTGTTTTCTTTTAAATAACGTAAAAAATGAACGTAAAAAAGGATGAAGGATTTTGTATTATTAGTACTCGAGGAAATCTCGATTCTAATATAAAAACTGAAATTGATATTTAAAATGAAAATCTAAGACATCATTCACATGTTAAGTGTTAAATAGTAGTGCAGAGTGCAAGAAAAATTCGAATTTTTAAATGCGTCTCAGTTTCTTAGATTAGATATTTCGAAAATTCAAACAACAATAAAACATGCAGCGATATTTATGTTTTCTTGTCCAGCTTGCATTACTATCAAATATTTTCAGAAAGTCGAATCGAATCAATAAGAAGTGATTGAACAGATAGATTATGTAATAAGGTATATAGAAATGTTGAAGATTATACCCAATCTTAAGATATTGGATTTTAATCATTGTTAGAAGACTATTAATTGGTAGCAGTTAAATTCACACGCTAAAAAACATTAGTAGGTTTATTTAAAGAAATGCAATGTTCGAAAATTCTCTTTACTTCGTTTTGAATTCGAAATAAGAAAAGACAAAAATAATATGCCTTCATTACGATTTGTTGTTCAAAAGAAAATTTCCGATATTTTCCAAGATCTCTGGGATTCAAAATAATTATTTATCTACAATTCATTTCATACAAGTTAAGTAGAGGAATTCAAAATGTGTTAAATAAATAGGAAGAAGACACACCTGAACTGGTATAAAGCGAGCAAGATGAACAGAAATTTGTTGCTAAGTTGGTGAGATGCTTGTGGTTACAACAATGGTTAAAAGTAGAAAGCGATGTTGGTGATCTGCTGTGACTTCTGCTTCTGCTGTTGATACTATTATTTCCACAAGCTTCCAAGCAATCAACCAAACTTTGCAGATACATAACAGACTGATCAAGGCGTTCGCCGATTGCTGTTGATTTTACAAGTTTAGCCAATTGCTCCGTGAACGATTCCATATGAATTCTTTTTTTGTCCAGTGCTTTACAAAGATATTCAACCTCACTCCATGATAAATTATGAAAAGGCAAACCATAATGTAAACATTTTGAGGAAGATTTTGTTAGTACAGGAGGCACCATTGTTGAATCCTCTGCTCTTCGTTTACAGTCCTGCTGTAACCGATACGGTGGCAAGTGGAAATGTTGAGTTTTAGAGCGTTGTTGAGCAAAGCAGTTAGTGATACAATGATGTGGTAGTGAGGATGATGGAAAATAAGATGCAGCACCTAATTCATGGCGCCATCCGAGTTCCCGTTCTTCAGGTCTATAATTGATGGATTCTGAGAACGGTTGATATAATCGTTCCAGTCCATTTTGGCTTTCTACATAACGTCCAACACTTTTGCTGCGTCTCGATTGCAACTCATAGTTTTTGAGTGAATTTGTCTCATTATCATGTTGAAGATTCGGTGTCCACGATCCTGTAAGCATTTTGCAGCCTCAGAGGAAGTGTTGTGATAATAATATAAGGGATTCTTTTTTTTTTGTCGTAAAAATAAATTTCAAACATCAAGAATCACCATACGAAAACTCTCACGTCTGGACGAATAGGATGTAAGTGAAAATTTACTTACGGTTTACTCGCTGCAGGGTTGACGCTGGAGTTGAGAGATTTCTTTGCTGGTACCTCAGCACTGAAGGATCTAAATAGTTTTCCTTAAATGGACTTTAAGTAAACTAAAAAACGAAAGATCAATATACAAAAAAAGATGAAGTATATTATACTGTTTTATCAAATACCACCCACCCATTCTAAAAATAACGGAAAATGATAGGTCTGATCGATGGATATATTTTATTTCCAAAACTATTATAAGGAAGATAAGAATAAAGTATATAGTAGCATAGGTAGAATTCTCGTTTAAGCATATTCAACTAAATTTCATCGATAGAACAGAGAAATGAAATAGCTTATACATACATTTATTATGAATAATATTGCGCTTTTTTAGTGCAAAGAAAAGCTTTTAACAATTTTTTTTTTATATTTTTAACAAATCATTCAGAGAGAAGAATGATTTTACATTTTATATTTTATAGAAGAATTCAAAAGAATCATTCTTCCGAATTGCAAACGACGACAAAATCAATATTAAAATTTTTGGAGAGAAAAAAATGAGATAAGAGATTGAATTTTTTTTTAAAAAGAAGTGATCTACAATTTCTAATCAATTGTGCAATTGCCGACATTAAACACAACACATGGTGAAATTAACATGATGATGATGATGATGATGATCGTTTTCTGGACTTAGCTGACACGAACATACATATTTATATGCATGCCATGCGGTAACAGTGTAGCAGTATAGCAAATATTATAAATCCCATTCTTTTTATGAAGTCATTTGGGAATTTAAGCTTCGTCTGTTTTAAAAGGTTTTACAGAAATTTTCGAACTTTATTTTCAACGATAGTGATAGAATAGTAACGAAAAAGTGATGACCACTACAATTATCAATGGCAATAAAATGAAATTGCCTTTGTAGTTGGTTCCTAGGAATATCTTGAATGAATTTTAGAAGTTCTCGACAAAAATAAATATTTGAAGAGTGTTTCTAACTCATTCAACTAGGAAAGACCTTTTTGACATGATACATATATATACAATGCAGTAGGGGGACGATATCCGTGGTCCATTCATCAAATAGGAAACTTTCAGCGTTCTCTCGCTTAAATCCAATATCAGAACGAAGATTGGAGTGAGCTGAAGTGAAAGGGAACTTCCTTATCTTTCCTAATCATAATCAGTGCAGCTTATTCTCACAATTATGCTGCTTTATGTGCAAAGATTATTGCAATTAATCCTGAATTTACCTAGTGAATATTGAATCAAAAATAATGAAACTGAATTACACTTTAGGCTAATCCTACAAAATTTAAAGCAAATCCAATCAGTATTCAAAATTTCCTATCAATATGTAGTGGTGGGAGCATTTAATTATTAGTAAGTAAGCATTAAAATTACTAATTTTGGGAAATTAATAACTGAACTGGTCTAAATCTTTTTGACTAGTTATACGTACACTTTCGTATCACGCTATACCTTATTATAATTAATATTATCAGTGTGTAGTTGGTAAAAAGAAATTTTGAAAACATTCGGTAATGAAATGATGAGAAGAAGCTTATTGTAAGAGTAATTGGAAAGAGGAAATAATTGGACAGGCATGCGGAAAAACCGATAAACTTCCTTCCCATTTACATTTTCTTTTCAACTTGAAGAGATGAAAGGTTTAATAATTGTAGTGTAAATAAATTGCACTGACCATAGGACAGTCTAATTTATCCTAGCCTAGGAAAGGAAGTAATACGGACATGAGGTAGGCTGGTTGAATGCAGTGGGTATATAGCATTTCATGGGACATATAGCTTGGCTATGTGCCATAAAACATAGCTAGGAGATATAAGTACTTGGAAGAAGCATTTCTTCTCATGAATACAGACACAACGCTCATTCTACACATAAAAAGAGATACCAGAAGAATAAAATTCCCTTTGAAATTCCTCTTCATTAGTATGTAATTAGTAAAAAGAATTTTTGCAGAAAGCACTAATCGCATTTCCAATTTTTTGAAATTACAGATTTCTGTTGGAAAATAATACTAATAATTAGTCTTCATTGAGATAAAAATAATCATAAAATAACTTGCCTAACTGATCAACTACATGCATTTTTTTGAACATAGTGCGGTACCAACTTGAATTTTCAGTATGATCATCAGGTATGGTATCTGTGGTACCATGAAACTCCCGTTTTGGTGCAGAGTGATGACTGTTGCACTTTTTTAATATGGCGTTGGCTGTTAAATTTTCTGATTGAAATTGATGGAGATGACCGCCTATAGATTGCATTTTGGTCCTCAACTCCATTGGTTTCCAAAGTGGCAACATTTCGCATGCTGGTGTTGATGTTGTTACTATTGATGATGATGAAGCACCAAATTGGCTTCCCACTTCTTGAGCTATATCGGTACTATGATTACTTGTTGGAACAATATCATCGTGGTTAACTGAAGCAGGTATTCCCAGAATCCTAAAAGCCGTCTCATTTCTATCTGTATTCTGACCGTTAACGAAGAATGATGGTGGATTTAGTGTTAGTAGGGGGGTAGCAGTATTTTCACTAATAGTGCTATGATGGAAACCGATAGTTCCATTAGCAATGGATGATGTTGTTGAAGACAAGGAAGGTTGTGGATGATCGTCAACTTTCTCTTTGACTGGTTTCAATTTTTGATAATCGTTTAATTGATCGGATCCTGCCATATCACTGGCTGGGGAACACGTGTGATCGCTGTTCACCTTGTGCTTATGAATAATTGATGGTAATGAAAATGTAGCAGAGGACGAGGATGTTGGTACAACGGATATATTGTTGGAATAAATGTTGAGTATGTTCGGAGAGATGATAACTGAGGAAGAAAGCGTCGCTGTACGATTAAATGGTACCGGGGTTATGCAGGATATATGCCGCTCCATCGGTTCATGTACAACAGATAACTGTTTCTGTAGTGTTGTATGATTGAGTGATTGAGAATTACTGCTTGGTTTCGACATCTTTGGTTCCACATGCCGAAGTTTTGATGCATCATCATGTTGCGGAACATATGGATATTGTTCGTTCGAGCTGGAAATCCATAACGGTGATTTCGCACGACCGTTAGCAATTGTCATAGAACTACCACTTGAAAGTGGTGGGATAGATGGCATTTTAACCTCCAATTTTCTTGCAATTTGCTCACGAAGCGAAGCAACTGATTGAGGTTTCGGTATTTCAATAACGCCTTCTGCTTTGGACGTCATCGAATTTTTGTTACCACCATCTCTTGCTTCAGTTCGCAACGTCCACTTTGTCCCACCAGATGAAGACCCGTTTTTTGACTTAACTTGTATTCCTGATGGTGGAGGTGGAGGTGGTGGTGGTGGTGGTGGAGTAGGTATCCGAAGCATTGTTCTGACCATCATCTGTAAATATAAACATTTATTACAACGATACAGTTAACATGTTATATTGCTTTCATCTCTTTCGAACACTACAATTACATCGAGCTGATTTAGCTAAAACAAAATTTCTGAGCGTTATCGTTCATTACTCATTCATCATTCTACTACTTTTGCTACTAAAGCCATTTTTCAAGTGTATTAATTGTTTCTCTGACGTTCGGAGCCATATCAAGTGAAGATGGGATATTTATTAAACTTTATTGAATTGGCAAGAAATTCTCAAATTAAATTCTCAGGTCAAATTAATTAAAGTCTCTAACTTATAAAGCTAGAAAAAAAATGATATTTTAAATAAATCATCGAAAAAAGAGGATGTAAACAAGTATAGGAAAGCTTAATCACTTCCATCCGGCAATTCTGAGAGCGCAACATTTAGAAAAGTATCATTAATCAACTTAATAATCGTTTTCAGGAAATGTACATTTGATTAGTCATAAAGATGACGTTAAGATTTTAGAAAATTTAAAATTTACAAAATTAAAAAATCGATGCAAATCTTCAAAACATATATTTAATATTTAGATCTATAATTTATGTTAAAACAGCAAAATTGTTAAAATTATTAAACTTATTCAGAATACAGAGCAGCAATATTATCATAAAAGTTTCCACTTCAAGTAATTTTATATGCAACAGAAAGATTGGAAATATTTTCATCGTTTAAAAAGCGATGCAATTTTTTGGTTTTTTGGAAGATAAATTGTTCAGGATCCCCACCTCTTCTACACTAACAGATCAAATTATATCGGAAATAAAGAATAGCTTTTTTAGAAAATGTTGCAGAAAAACACTTTTTTGGTTTTCTTCAAACTTTAAGAAATATACTGCACCATTGATCAGTTGCGCCTGAACTGCAATCGAACATTCAAAGTCTGGGAAGAACTTTAGAGTTAATGAATAATTTACCTAAAAAGTTAACAATTTAAAAATCCGAGTAATTGAATGAACAAATACGACAAGCATATGGATTAAACAGAACGATAAAATGAACGAATATGGATAATAACATATATGACTATAAATAACTTTATAAGCAAGAATTTACCTCCTCATTTCGAAATTCTGGTTTTTCTGGAATTTTCTCCGGTTCATCAGAAGCCTGAAAAATGATTTTCCAATTAAATTAAAATATTTGATATTACCATAAAGATTTCCATATAAATCTAGATAAAAACATCCTAGGCAGAGGTAATAAATTTGAGTGGTAAATTGTAAGCTGTTATTAAAGCAAATGAAAAAATTTTCTACAAATAATACTATTTATATAAATGAAGAAGAAGACAAGAACTTTGATTGAACTTTGACATTTTTCAAAACTATAAGTTCAAACATTCATTCATAAATTGATACGATTGATTTATCTCTTATGACTTTACAAACAATTGTAGTGAAGCAGAAAATTAAAGTTAAAATTTTATTAGAAGCAGAAAAAAAGAAAAAAGAAATATGAAACGAACTGGCAAAAGAATTCGGAAATAAGACACAGATAAAAAAAGTGCTGTTAGAATGAATCCTAAAATATTATATCTGTTTTCTTTTTCTTGTACTTTGAAGCTTATAGCTGTATTGCCATTGCTGCTGCAAATATTTTCTCTCTCTTATGATTGATGAAAATCCATAAGAAAGTAAAAAATGTTTAATGGATTTCAAATTATCCTCTTATTCTTCCCCTTCTTCTTCTTCATTTTTCTTCTCTTCCTTTCTATAACCTTCCAAAAAAGAAACATCTGCACATTTATTTATAAATTCCAACAAAATCTTAAAATATCAGAAAGAATGAGTGAAATTATTACTAAATACTATACGACGAAAAATGAATGAATTGAAAGAAATATTAACATTCAAATTTCAAATTTCAATCATAGTTGCATACTATAATTTTTTTACCCTTTTAATTGGAGCTGTCAGCAATACATTTCAAGATTAATAGGAAGAAAACGAGGAAAAGAGCAAAATGTTAGTGAAAATTTGGTGTAACATGCTGAGACTAGCACAATGAGGCAAATTTATGTTCTCTTCGTACATAGAGCTCGCGCAATTTTTGAAATCTAATTAGAAAAGTTTTTTGTTGATTTTAAAATAGCTGCATAATTTTGCCAGTAATCCATTGCTACATCTCACTAGTCAAAGAAGGAATTTTCTGCACTATATTATTATATCTTTGAGTAATGCATGAATATCATTAAAAATTATTGCTTGTATATAATTGAAAGGAAGCTCCGATTTCATATCTTACAAACTCTTAATCACACATCTGTCAGCAATTTCATTCAATTATTTTGAGTCATTATTTATTGCGACGTATGAGGAAGAATTGTATAGAAAGTTGTGTGAATGACTTATATTTCATAAGGTTATACAAGTAATATAACAATTAACTGAGAAAAGTTTAGATCAAAAATTATCATTCGACGCTTTTTAGGGAAAGTAAACTGTGTAAATTCATGTTTTCCAGAAAATAAAAGACAAAAAAAGGGAGACCGGAAATGCTGAAAAAACGAAATAGTAGAAAATAAAAACTTTGATAAATATAAAAATTAAGAATGTTGAGGATGAAATTATACCAATTGCGCTAGTGATAAAAAGTTGTCGAATGAATTAGATGAAAGCCGATTATTGTTAGAATTTTTAAGAAGTGAAATAATATTATATTCAGGATTATATCCACTTTCAAACACAGAAGATGGCGAACGTAAAGATGTTGGGAACAATTGTCTTGATGAAGTTGCTAGTATTGCCATTGATGTAGCTGTTGTTACCAATGAGGGTGCTGCAGTTCTCGATTGGCTTTAGTTACTTCTTTAACTTTCTTGCAAACTTCAAATCTCTCTCAAATTGCTTTCACACAGAAGCGATAAATATATGCTTTACACAGGGCATCGCCTCCCAATCACTACAACTTAACAGATCGGTTCATCGTCTCATTATCATATCATATTGAATAGATTTTGAAGCCATCACTAAATTGGACATTTAATCTGCGTTAAGAATTTTGAATTACTCTATTTGAAATTTTAAAATGCTTCAGGAATCTGTCAAATTATGCAAAAACTGATTTTTGTTCAAGATATCATGTAAGTTACTTTTATAATTAGTCTATTTAATTAGTTTACATTTTATACCTATCAATGATGTATATTTGTTCGTTTTATTTCTTTTATTGCCAGTTTCTTTATTGATAAATTTTTTGTTCTTTTTTTATTATAGTGAGCTCAACAAAAATTTTAAAATATGTATGGAAATATGAGTGAACACTTGATAATTCAACCATCATTATTTGTGAAACGATAACTCAGATTAGAAAAAGTTGCGGGAAAACATCGGATCAATGAAACTGACCTGTCGGATTTTCTGGCGAAAGGTAGCTTTCTTTGGTGAAATCATTACTGAAAGTAAATATTTTCAAAAAAATGAATATAAATTAAGCAAGTTTATAAATATTTGGTATCCAATATGATACACACATAATGATGTAAATAAACGGTTAAAATAGTGAACCGATTGATGATGGAATGGAGTCCAGACACTACCTTTCAGTGACATAAACACTGCACTCAGTTATATCATCCGTATGATTACGGATTTTAATTCTTCAGACTTCCAACTTGAGCAACCCTATTACAACCCACTGGTGAATAAAATAGTTTAAGGTATTAAACTGTTAAATTCTACTTCTTACGAAAGAGCTAAGTCAGATCGAATATTTATCTACCAAGAATTACTTAAAAAAAGAAGAAAACAGGTTTAAATAAATTTGAGTGAGTGACTTTTGAAATGCTTATCGTAAGGTCACACATATATAAAAATATAAACTTTTCTACTAAAACATGTGGAACAACAGTTATGAGTTTCTGCCAAATTTTTTAATTATATTTTTTACTTATGATTCTGTAAGTAGTATCGCATACTTCGATGCTAATTGTCTTCCGGTATCTGTAGCTGATTAAATGAAACTGGCAAAATTTTCCCCAATAGAGCTGCATTCAGAAATGTTGAAACCTTGATCGTTAGACGGTAAAGATAATTCACATTCAATCTTTTGATAAAGTTGACTCATATCTGTGAGGTCATGAAATACTTTCCGGCTTGATGACATTTCGAAGAATCGTCTCTTATCGTAAATTGAACTACCCATGCCACCTGTTTCACTCAATTGTCACTAGTTATTAATCACTGCCTATGCATTCCACATGTCTTCAAAACAAAGTCATGTCGAAATTCTGGTTTCGTTCTTAAATACGACGATATCTTTACGAATTCAAGAATGATCGGTCCTTAAACGCTCCATTAATTTCGCCGAATACTTCTATCGCCAAAAAATAGTGAATAATTATAACTTCTATATTATCTTTATTTCTAGTTGAAACTGACCATTATAATTATTTACAATATTCCTTATGAAATCAGATGAATGTATAGGTAATATTCCTGACGATGGATAACTTTTGTACATTCTTAAAGACAGCATCAGCTTATCATCAAGCTTCACTGGCTTTGCTGTTTCCGCGTGCATTGAAATGGTTGCTAGTTGCGTTGTCAAATTTGTCATGCGAAGATTGCGAACCATCAAACTTAAATGCTGTAGCACTTCCTTGAACTGTCGGTTTCACTGGTACTGGAGGGAGATGTTTAAGATGTTTATCTTCTGTTAACATGAATCCTCTGAAATGGGCTCTCAAATAGCGTATCCAAGTGAGACTTTGGACAAGATATTACATTTTTCATCGTCAAATCTCTGCAAAGCATTACAAATCGTTTAAAATTATAATTTTAAACATTTCACTATAAAACTAATTAATTAAGATAGATCAAAAATATAGGAATTATCTTTTCGAAATTAACAAATATTGAACCATGAACTAAACAGAGAATCACTTTAAAATGCGCAGACGATGAATAATTGACGGCGAATAATTCACAAAAGAAAGCTAACGAAATAAATGAACGAGCAATTTTATTAACAAAAAAGCAGAAAAACAAGTCGAATTGCATGCGTCCAGTAGTATCACAATACGATCAAAACAGGATGTTAAGAAGAAATAATTAATGTTTTTTGCATGTTTTATTATAACAGAGAAGATTTCGAGGGCAACTAAAATTTAAAAGAAAATTAAACTAAATTACAATTCTCTCTTCTATCAAATCAAGTTTAAACACATTATCATGGATGTGAGAATAATAAAAATAGCAATATGAAATAGTAACGGAAGTCCAGGAAAAGCTAGGATAATGCAAGGTTAGGTGATGAGAATGATCAATATTGAATCATTTTTTGGATGCCTATGTGCAACTATATTTGGGATATGGTCAGGCTACTTATATGAAAACTTTTTGTATTGGATAATGGGATATTCCTGGATAGTTATTGATCTGTGATATAGAGATGATGTTGAATAAAGACCATTAAGGCACATTTAACATCTTAATTCAAGGTTGGGACTGAGTAGTTGCCATTGAAATCAACAATCGTCTGCTGTCTACTTGGGTATTTTATATCTCAACAAATTATAATAATAAAAGAGCGCAATCTCTAATAATTATAAAATTTTATTCATTTTTTAAACTTATTTTTTTTCTCCAATCTGGCAACTTCATCTCTCATCTCGGTTCCCCGAATTCATAGCTCCTAGCATGTTTTCATTGCGATAAAATCATAGAATTATTACACATCGTCAACTATTACCACAAATAAGATAGGTTTAAAGTTATTACCAGTTCATTATATGCCATCAGCAAACAAATGAGTTTCTCAAGAAGCTGTCGTCAAATGCTCGAAGAAACGATTTCTTCTCTCACGTTTCCTTAAAATTTCACGCTGTTAGCTATCCTGTTAGCTATTCCTAGAAAACTAATATTCGGACAGTTATTTATTGTCAGTTCAAGTAAGTGTAAATGATGATGAATATGATTTGATAGTTCATTGCGACAAATAAGCTTCATAATATTCTGTCACTAGCTTATCGTCATTTTATTTAAACAAATTTTAACAGACATTGCTTTTTTGCTAATTTGGAAAGCTCAGATATGCAAAAGCGGTAAAGTGATTTTGTCTTACATTATTACTGCATTATAAAACTGCATACATCAAAGAAGTCTACTGAACGATGTTTCTCTTAGTCTTATAGATTTAATTTTTAGCTGCTATAATGTTGCTAGAAAATTGCATAAAGATAAATTAAAAAGAAATTGAATATATAAAGAGTCTTAGTTACCGCTCCTTTAGGTACCAAAATTAATTCATTTCATTGGTGCATGTTTTTTTTCTCCTCAAGTTTTTCCTTAATTTTTCCTTATAGCTCTGCCAGTGGAACATTTAATACTAAAAGATACGTTAATTAATAATTAATATCTCATTACGGATGACTGGAACCTTTACAAAAGGAAACTGTCCATCACTGCTGGAGAAGAAAAATAAAAGACGAGTGGCTGCATCAGCACATCTGACAAAGCTATGACAAATAATCCAATGCTTCTTCAATTATGATTTGCATACTTTAAGGAGCGGAAGAAAAGATTCACGCATATTAATTTTGTGAAGACAATAGGAATCCATAATTGCTTTGATACATAATTTATGAGTAATTGCACGATGCATCCATCAGCTGTTTACCAAGAACGATCGACATTACCACATAATATCTTTTCAAACATTGAAAAGAGTTATGCATTAAGGAAACAAAGAGATGAATTTAATGAAGCAAAATCATTAGAAATGGACAAGTACAAAACATATTTTACTCATTTTGTAATAAATCTCTTTCAAATAAACTTAATTATTTGTCATAAAATGGAGACTGTTATGATTCTGAAACTTTAGCATTGAGCATTTTGTAACTTGTGCAGTGTTGCCGGCTGATTGTTTCTACCATATCACCATCTCGCATACCTTCTTGATTAGCTCGTCCATTAGGAAAAATCTAAAATTTGTGTCAAATTTTTATCATTTAAAAAATTCACATAATAGGGTAAATATGCATAGTGAATATACCTTATGTGAATGATGCAAAGTTGAAAAGAAAAATTAAAATAAGTTGAAAGATGCTGCAAATCACTTCAATTAAATTAACTTAGAAAACAAGTCTTACAATAAAGTACTGCACTTCCCTAGGTAGATCGGATGAAAGATTGGGTTTATGCAAACAGAACCAAACTTGGGAATCTCTTCCGGAGACAAATTTCGATTCAATCATTTTAGCAATTCGCTGAATATCACAAAACTGAATCAGCGAAATAAAAAAAGTATCACTTCATAATTTAACTGCCTAAATTCATGAACTTCGATGAAATATTACAATAATTATAATTATTGAGTAGGCATTTTACTAGCTGTGTGCAAATATCACTCACTGGTACCTGTTTCTTCCCACTGATCCATAAAAATTGTATTGGCTTTTATCGCTGTCCATCATACTGTAATCCATTAGAGAGGTATGTGCACTTTTAAAATATAATTATCTAAGGGAATGTATTTACTGTCATGCAAAAATTTCAAAAGATATCATGCGACGTATGCAGAAATAAGTGCATACACTGATTTCAAAAAATTGTTATGAAGTATTTATAAGGATGTTACATAGTGAATTCGGTCGATTATTCAGCCAAATACCACAAAGAGACCGTTATTTCGATGAAATATTCAAAGTACATATCGAAAATTTAAGTTTAAGAATTTTTTCGAACAATAAAATTCCTAAAGGATAATAATGGTTTGTGTGCTGACTTATGTGTTCAATTCAAAAGTGTGAGAGTTATTTTGCCCAATAGCATTTGTGAAATGAAAAATGTAAATAGGCGAATAGTTGTAAAATAGACATAAATACTTATGTTTGGATGAATTGAAAATTCATTAAAAATTCGTTTAAATTAAGGTAAAAGAAGGTAAATTTTTAAATTAATTCTCATTTATTCGATGTGAATAACTTATAAAAAGCTTACACTTTTTTTGATTTAATTAGATTTATTTATAATTTCCATTAGATATGCATCTTTTGCTTCCCTTTGGTGATGCGAATAGATGATGATTGAACTGAACAAATTAAACCACAGTAGAACTTCTCGGCTTCCTCGATGCTTCTTACCCAGAATGCAACGATTAAATTGCGAATTAGGCTCTAACTGGCTGAACCATTCCTTTGTCCTTCTTCTCTTTCGTCAAATAAAACTACTCGAGGATATCTTTTTGTGAACTCAGCTGGCGTAATGTAATCCTGTCACCAACAGCAATAGACGAGTTAATCCGAAGGATAGGTAAAATCAAGTGACCTTGGCTTATCTATTTCATCAATATCCATTCATACTAATTAATCATCTATAATTATTTCCAAATTTAAGAGATGAAATATGATTAAAATACTGGTGGATGGATGAGATGACAACGCCAGAGACACTTAATTTCGCTATATAAACTTCATGTACGAATAACTTAGTTTAATGCTTGAGTGAAATGCAAATAAATATTTGAATAAAGTTAAAATTATAACAGAGTCATTAATAGATCCACAAAATAAATGGTTATTGGATTCAACTTTGCAGTCAAAATCAATGAGAAAAGCTTTAATCACAAAGTACGTCTTCACTAAGAGCAAGGAAAAATAATGGTACAAATGGATTAATTACATAACAAGCAAAATAAAAAAACCTACGAATAAGTAAATATGTAAATAAAGAGAAAAAAACTGAAAAAACTTTGCAAGGCTGAATTAGTATTTTGTAATATTAAATTGTATTGGAAAGCAGTGTTATATTTCAGAGTGATTCGGATCAAGTTATTAGATATATTGCTGATCAAAGAAAGGATTCATCAAATATATATTGTGATCAAGATATTATTTTTGTTCTAAAAAACCAAAACTTAGAAAAAAAATTTGGAAGCAAATTTTGCTAAAATTTTCTTGTCAAAATAAAATTGTCAAAACCTGAGTAATTCGAATTCGTCTATTTGGAAATGGTGCAAAACGAAGTCTCCACGGTGGTCCACCCATTAACCATACATTTCGAGTGACCATTCCATTTCACCCTACCACCTGTTCCTAATGAAAGAAGCTGTCAAGAACGCGTGAAACACGAATGGAAGCGTCCATTTTAAAATGAATGAAGAATTGGCCAAAGGGATTGGTTGATTGAGGAATTGGATAAGTAAATGTGGAATAGAGATAATAGCTATATGAGAGAATGCTACGGAGGAAATAAAGGACAAATGGGAAAGATATTAGGAGTAGGAGTAGAAGCAAGAAGCATCATTTAGATGATGATTGAAAAGGGTTAGAAAGTGATCGGAGTTTGTTGCAAGATGTTCATCTATTCTTACTTTCTAGGCTACACTTTCTCTGCTGCTTTTATTCATCATTTATGCACCCATCTCATCGAACACTTATTGGTTGACCTTTCGCTTCATTCCTTCTTATTTCATTTCCATTCCATTTCAAATTTACCGCCTGCATTCCGACAAGTTACAGTAATTAAACTGCAACTATTGCTTTCCGTGGTAAGGTTTATAGGGTCGCAAAAGTTCATTCAATTTTCTCGTTAGTTTGATGTTGGTGTTGGTTGCGGTGGTGGTGATAATAGTTTCGTGCGTATGTGATATATGGCTGGTATATTACGCAATGTAGATGAATATGGATCCGTGGGCATGGTTGATGTTAGGTTATGAATGGTTTGCACAACTCAACCCGATTCGTGCACATTCGGTGTTATTCATCTATTCGTTGTTTTTTACACTCCAATATGAGATTCAAATAGAAGAAGAAATGGTATATTGTGTATATATAGGGTAAACTTGGATGTACAGGGAACTTTCTGCTTGTAGCCTTCGTGAACTAGGGAGAGTTATTTAAAAAGTTTTGTTTTTCTTTTGTACGTTGCACATAGATCCGATGCAAACATTAAATATTGCTTTGCTATCGCTACCTGTTCAGTGATGGTTGAACTGCGTCGTTCAGTGGGAGGACGAAGCAAGAAAACTTCACCACCATTCTTGTCTCATGAATTTATTATTCAAAATCATGGCGATATCATGTCATGTTTGTTGATGATCGTTGTCGTTGGACTTCTTTTCCAGGTAATTCCTTTACGAAATATTAAAGAAACAAATGAGTATTTGTTAAATAATTGTGAACGACATAATTAGATGCAGTGTTAGTTACAGTTTAGTTTTTTTGCTAAAGTGCATGAAGAAATAGTTCTGTAACTAATGAATCAGGCTAGTAGTTTGCAGTCAAATAATTTTAAATTTTATAGGGCACATCGGCATTGGCAAGCATTTTCATTGTTCCGCAGTACAATGACACATTTCCGCTAACCGTGGATTCGGGTATGTTTATTCTAAACAAAGCAGTGAAAAAATTTTTTACGATGGTTTGATTTCGTTTTCAGTGGTATGCCTCAACTGCTGGTTGCTGCTTGTTAGCTATCCTGCGTTGCATATGTAGTTGATTCTGGAAAGCGGTACTGGTTTTTTTCAAGGTAGAATCCAGTCAATGCTTGGTAACCATAGAGGCCTAGTTCCTCTCACCGTCGTTGCGAATGCATTAGAAAAATTGTTAAAGATACTCATTTTGTCTTCAGATGTAGAAACTGTCATGTACTTTGTATACAAAATATCGGTGAAAGCTGTTTGAGTATGGAAATTGTTTATAAATATATTCATTATACAGGGCTGTTTTTTCTTGTAGAACCACAAGCTTATTATCGGACTGGTTTGAAAGATATAGCATCTGTTGCGTTTTATACTGTTGGATGGATTACTGTTCACGCTATTTTGCAAGAATATGTGTTAGACAAATTACAGCGGAAACTTCATTTGAGTAAAACAAAAATGAGTAAATTTGCTGAATCGGGGCAATTATTCGTTTTCGCTTTATACTCCATTATACATAGCGGTAAGTTATTTTTTGGGCGTTCATTGTTTTTCCTGAAACCTTAACACTTTGTGGAGTAACTTTGACATTTTTCTTTTTTAAATGAAGATATAGTCTTTGGTAGAGATTCCAGATTGCATTTTTTGTGTTTCGTCGAGTATGCATTTCATCTTGATTATACACTTGTCTCTACCAAAGACTATATCTGTGTGGCATAATTTACAGGCTATATAATGCACGATCTACGAATGCATTTAGACCTTACCAAATTGTGGGTTGGATATCCTGAAATCCATCGTCATATGACACTTCATCTGAAACTCTTTTTTATTTTTCAGGTATGATTATTTTACTGATTATTTTTATGTTAATGATGATACTTGCTTATAAATTATTTAACACTTAAATTTTGCAAATGCGCAAGATGCATTACAGATTGCTTATTGGTTGCATCAGTTCCCTGAATTCTATTTCCAAAAAGTGCGTAAAGATGAAATACAGCTTCGAACATTGTACTCAGTTATTTTTCTTTTCTTCACCGTTGCAGCATATTCTTTGAAGTAAATGTTTCATGTATTTTTCAACAGCATGGTTCATTTTTTATTTTCGTTTAATTTTATATAAGTGATTGAATTCCCATTCAGATACCCAGTTTTCAGATTGATAAAATTATAAATTTTAGTGGTAAATTGTTCAGTTGCATGAGATGGCTATCCTGTAAAGCTAGGTCTTTCGGTATTTATCCATGATTATAGCTCTTTTTGGGAATAATTGTGCCACTTCCTTATTTTTCCAAGTTTAAACCACACGAAAGTTTATTTATACTATTTCGCCCTAAAATACTTTGTTTAATGTTTAGATCCATTCCAAAGTCTTCCTACTATTCTGAAGGAAGAAGGCAGGGGCAGTTGAATAAAAGAGATAATCGTGTATTTTTTATTATAATAAAATAAATTGGAGATATCGGTATCGGTTTTCGATCTCAGCAATTTTCTTTGCAGTTTCAATCGACTTGCACTAGCCCTCCTTTTTCTGGAGTATGTGTCACAAAATATTTTCCATCTTACTCGCCTATTTCATTTTGCTGAAAAATGGAATATTGCGAAGACCGGGTTTGTTTAATTTTTCTTGTTGTGAAGCGTGTTCGAAATGGGTATTCTGTAATTATTATCACTTCCAAGCACCATTTCATTAGAAAGAATGGTATAGTTAAGGCGGGATGCTTAGTTTTCCATGTTATCTGTTTTCTTTTTTTGTACTGCGATGGGGATAGATGGCTTTTTGAAGTATTCAAATCGACATTTCGGTTATATTAGTTATTCATATGTACAAAAATTTAGTTTCAAAATTTGGAATATTGTATTTGTGCTAGTACGATTGGCGAGCGCAGTGTTAGCTGTACTTACATTATGGTATGGGCTTCGTTCCAATGAAACTCCCTATATGGATCCAGTGAACGGAAATTTCAACACTGCGTTCATTCGGTAAGTTTTTTATTGGAAAAGTTAAAGTGATGTTTGCAATTTCTTCGACAACTTTGTGTTGTAACTCTTCTCTGTGTTTCTTTCTGCACACTGAGCATTAACATTTTTCAAATTGTCATAAATCTTTCATTTTTTCCAAGTTGTTATAAACTGAATAGTTTATTATGCGTGTTATAGACTGAATAGTTTATTATGCGTTTTGGCGTTGCAATTATATATGCTGTGGAACTTTGTTTTATTCCAAGTACGTCGTTACCGGGAAAAGCATAGCAAAATTAAAATGGACAAACAACATAGAATCCAGAATAAGAGAAGGAAACATATAAATGACGATGTTAGTTTATTTATGTATCTAAATATGTTACCACAAAATTTGGCCTGTATATATTATGTGAAAGAAAAGTAGAATGTTTATCCCTAAGCAGTAACATTACTCTAAAGCATTACTGTGAGCAATAACATTATTATGAACATTTTGATTGCTAACAGAAATATTACGAATAACGCATTAGTTAAGGTTGCAGGTACGCGATCTTCCAGAAGCTGATCAACATTCTCGTAAGAAATTCAATTAAATTATTCAGAAATGATCAAGTTATCAAGTGGGACAGCAACAAGATCATATGTCTCACTGAATGGGACGAGAAAAGTTCCTGGCACAATTTCACCATGTAATGATACATTTCTCTGAATCAAGGGTGCATTCTGTCTCTAAATATTTCGGTTCTATTTGAAAATATAATAGCCTCTGTATTTATGTACTAGTTTTGATCAGTACATTTTCGAATAGTTTTTCGTTTCTGTAATTATTTTTTGGACGAAAGTTTTAAGTTAGAGGAGAGCGGCGTGAGAAAGTACGGCGATTAGCATAATTACCTCTGCCCTCTGCTGCCATATGCTGTCTAATATTTGTTTATCCTTAGACTAACTGTTGCTTCTTGATCCTTATATTTTTTCTCTATTTTAAAGCCCTTGCGCCATTTGTATTTAAGTCCGTCAATCATATTGCGGTAGTTGATGTTTATGAAATTACATAACTTCTAAGTCTTTTGGAACTTCATTGCATTTCTTCGGGACCTAAGATCCTTCTGTATCCAAATCTGTTTTAACAGTTGCAAGCTTATTTCAGGTAACATAAAATATGAAAGCATTATGTTGGGATTATCTTTCAAGTTGTTATATGTTGCACTATCTATTGCCAGTTGTGATCCATTGCTTGTTATTCGATTTCTTTTCTTTAATATACTTTCCTCCGTGATTTAAATTATTGTGATTTTAACCTTTGTTTTTTTTACTTTTTATTTTTGGTATGATTTCGCCTTTCGGTTAATTTGTGGTTTTCTTGTTTTAATTTATAAATTTGTACGAACCTGTCGGTCAAACTATTGTTGTAATGAATTACTGGTAAATTTTCATTATCTAAGCAGAATATTCTAGAAGCTAAATAATGAGACGGATTGAACGAAATGATGGTATGGGCAAAAGGTGCTCACAAAGTTGCTGTAATCTCCACAAGTAAGGTTCCTGCAATTGCTTATAAGTGAAGGCTGCCATCGAGGAATGGGTTCTAACATTTCATTCTCTTCACAATTGCAAATCTAGTTCCAAAATACATCATCGAATCAAGTGCTTTAGAATACATTCCTTAAGCCTAAACTAAACACATGATACAAATTAACATAATTTAAATGCGCAAAATATTTACACATGAAGATATTGAGTGGGTGTTATCAAAATCACTGATTCAAATCTGTTCTAGTTTTCGACAATCTTAAATTCCTCGGCAAATACGTTCAACGATGCTCGAATTCAGTATTGAAAAATAGTTGATCTTACGCGTTGCTAATAATGTCAGGAGGGGGTCATTTAAATGGCACATATGTGTTGCGAATGCAATTCCCTATCCCATATCTTCGAATTCGATGATCAATTCGAAGATATGGGATTTAAAAATTTTATTTGGTATTCTGCCGAACATGTTAATATTTCGAACAGCGTTCTTAATTTGATGCTATTGAAACAATTAGTCTTTGATTTATAAAATCTTTTAAAATTGAGGATTTGAAGCTAAAATTCGAGAAAATCAATTTTTTAGATGCAAAAGTTCATATCAGCATTTTTCTGGTATTAGACTGAGGTATAATGTCATTTATGGATTGATCAGTGCATTTCTTGGTTGTTTGTGAAAAAACTGCCTGGGAAGCTGTTTTCTGAAAAAAGAATTGAATAAGTATTGGATTTTGAATGTGAAATATGAATTACGACATTGAACTTCAAAGAAAGTCTTGAAAGAACTTTCATTTCATTAATTCGAGGAGAAATTATGCCATGATTTCATTAAATATTTTAATGCTGTTTTGCTACAAAAATATACCATTCACGGTTGGATCATTTTTGTCCAAATTACCGCTTTCACCTAAGCCTGAGTAGTTTGGTATGTCGTCTCTGCCTGTAATGCAAATGGATTTGAAAAATTAGTGCGCTGTGATGATGACATGAAATTATTTGATTCTTTAGTTTTTATTTTAAATTAAATTTCAAATACTGCGCCAAGATTTGCAGAGTATGGAAACTTGGATTAGTTAGTTACATGCAGCATGCGCTATTGTTATTGTTCCACTGAGAACACTATTCAAATGAAGGCTTTTGAATTATGAGCATTAAAGTCGTCACCAAGATAAGTATCTGCGCTGTACCCTTCAAATGTATTCTCCATGGCAGGCGAAAAATGCTCTAGGGAAAAATCTTCAAATGATATTGAATCCAGCTCTGAATCAGAGGAATCCCAGTACAAGCGATAATACATTCTGAAAATCCAGTGGAAACAATTTCCATAAATCAGAATCATTAGAAGCCTAACCGAATCGTTGTAATCTGTTGAAATATTAATCGTATACCTAGAATCGACTGGTAATAATGTGGAAGAATTCACAGGTGTAAACTGATCTGAAGTTGTTTCTGGTAAGTTTGAATTGCTTGATGCGGATTCTAAATTGCTGCTTTTATGAGGAATAACATTGAAATAAGTTTCTCTTTTCATATTGGAATTTGAGTAACTTGATAACATTTCTAAATTGCATTTCAAATCCATAAAGTTATATCAATTCCTATAAATGGCAAAATATGGTATATCATACTTTCTGGATAGGAATAAGTACTAGTTACCACACTTGAATGAAGGCCCCAACTATCTTCCAAATAGTTCTCCTCAAGAATGAAATCACCCAAATCTTCTGATCTCTAAAAATGTTATAACGTGAATTTAAATTTCATTCAGTTTCATTTGAGTCTCAAAAAATTTTCAGAATATGTGGCTCTTTATTAAGAATTTTTTGAAATACAGCATAAGTCAGTATGATAAACGATACTCGCTAGGTGGATTCACCATCTAGCTAGTATCGTTTTTCTTAAATTGTGACTCCTTGATCAACTGCTTGAGATTGAAACATGGCAAATAATGTTAGTCATCAATTTTAACTATTCATCTTAAATTCATATACGAATAAGTCCAAAAACTAAGGACTTTTCTACAGCTCAAGTACCTCACGTTGCCTACTTCATAAATGATAAAGTCAGTATTTCAAATTCATGAAAAAAGGCTTACAGTTCCGCTGGAAACAGTACTCTTCAACGGACGGCTTAGGTCACGCAACGGTGACACCACTGTTGGTGGCGTTGCCGATGGTTCTTGGTCATGCTTAATTGCCAATATACCATCTGCTATCTAAAAATTTTGACATATTCAATTTTAGGATTCTTCTTGCTTCATAAGAAATTTACTAGTAACTTCAAGAATATCAGATTTCATTATAACTTCAAATCTAAACTACTCGCTGACGCCGACTAAATCTTTTACTACTAGAGAAATAAAGAAAAGGGGAAAATGCCCGAACATATCTTTTTTCAGAATTGCCAATTCTTGGCCAGTTGTTTAATAATATAATTAAGGAATGATACTTCATAAAAAACATACTGTTAGTGTTTGAAATGCAGTTTGCATACCCGTTTGTAAATCTTGTTTATCGGCAGATGTTTCTGGAGCTGAAAATCAAAAGATAAGTTAATTAATCTGTGTATTTAAACAAAGTGGAAAACATGAAGATCTATATAAACAATAAACTTTACTATCAAATCTTAGGTCAAAAATAAGCAAAGAGGGATGAAGGATAGGAGAAATGAATGAATTCAAATTCGTAATCACAAAACAGAAAACTTATTATTTGAAAGCAAAAGGTTTGTATACAAAAGACAGTCTCAACAAAAATCCCTAAGATGGCAATGGAACAGGTCAAAACGACCAAACATGGGAAAATCAATAGCTGGTCAGTAAGTTTCACTCCAACAAGAACCATTCTCCAGAACATTCTATACCTGCCATCTTTCGCAATTTCTTCTAAGAAACTGTTTTTTAAAACGGTTTCTTTGCTTTTATAATGGCGTGAAAATTTTTTTCAAACTTATTCAAATTTATTTAAAAAATTCAAATTTGTCTAAGAATGATTCAAATTTATCCAAAATGATGCAAATTTAATTTATCTAAAATCATTTAAATTTATCTAAAATTATTTAAACTTACCAAAAATGACTCCACAATCATTCAATTAATTAAAAGATACGCGCGTGAACTGTGAATGTACAGTTTCAACTGTTTACCAATGTGATGTTTACAACATTTTAAAGAGATTACACGCTACAGTAATTATCTTTCTCACTTTTATGCTTTAGCTCCTCAATTCTTAAATAGATTTAGCTCTTTGCCTCAAGCATTCTTCCACGTTCTACCACATCCAGAGTCCACTTGAATTTATTGCATTATTCGCGAACTTTTCTGAACTCCTAATTCACTTCTTCATCAATGCGCAATTTCTCGATGATTGACCAAACATTTTGCTTAGTTTGTTTCATTGTTTTGTACATGCTCTGTCGTACTATTATGTAACGTTGAGAAACGTGTAAAATGCCTGAGATGTCGAGGAATTCCAGGACGAATAGTGCTGTCCCGGATTCCTACGAGAATACTTTAGGATCACTGGGATATTAAACAGCTTCTTGTTAATCATATAAGCGATAGTATCGCTGATGATCTTTGAGGTCTGGGAGGAGAAATTTTACATCTAAAATATCTTCGACTTGCTCTCGATTTTAGATTTGGGTTTTCAAGGAATGTCATCGAAGTGAATTGCAACAAAATATATTCTTAAATTTAATTGGTACTGTAAAAAACTTTACAAGAACATTTCAAAGAAACTTTAAATAACAGGATAAAAATACAAAGCACTTGTTATCGATCAGCGCATCTCATTTTAAATTACATGATTACTTTACTACTGAAAATTTCTTTTACAGTCCAATCAATTACACAGATCATTACTAACCACTTCAAATTGCTTAAATGTCACAAAAATGCAATCATTAACTTGAATTTCGAAGAAGTGACTAAAAAGTAATTGTGCTCGCTTTTTAAATTACGATACGCAAACTATAATTTTCTCTTATTCAGTCAAATCTGAAATTGAAATTTACCAGGAAAAAAACTTAATTTAGATATTACAACATAAATCGCATATTTCCAAAGTTCACTAATATTCATCGAGCATATCACATCCGCCTTAACAAGTCTAAACTTTCTTCTTACATCAGTAATTCCACCTTAATAGTCGCCGATGATGTTTTGTCACTGAAAAGCACGAAATTATATGAAATTATAGTAGAATATGAAATAATTCGACGAATTCAATTTAACAACTAAAAAATTTATTTTCTAGCAGTAACTAGCAGCATCAAACCAGCAAAATTTCCTGAACTATCACTAAAACACGATTTAAAAAACAAGTGATCCGCTTTGGAAAATAGTGGATATGATTAAGTTTAGACTATTCAAAATTCTATTAACCAATCTTTCTCGTCACTATCCAATAAATCTGCTAGTAAGATTTCGTATTCCGATTTACAGAAGTGATTCCAGTCGCTGAATTGTGAGTCTACTTCCTAAAAGAATTTCTAAAAGTCCTGAACAATATTTTACATATTTTCAATGAACAATTGAAATGTCGAACAATTTCAATGTAGTAATTAAAATGGTCGAAAAAATTGAATTTCAAAATTGCATCTCAGAATGTGGAGTGAATGAAGAAATATATGCACCACACAAATAGTAAGGATTTAAATATCATTACACAATTTTATTTGTTCTAATGTCTTCAGAATGAATTTCTTACTAATTTACAATAACATACATTTCTTTTAACGAGTAGGCAGCTTTCTTGTGCAATGTGTTTTATCCAATTGATAAAAGTGTTGAAGAAATAACGTGCTAGTGAAGGAGATCGTTTAAAATCGGATAATGTAAAATATGTTGATGAATGTGGTGATATCATATCTTTTAACTCAAAAAATTTTTTTATAGAGAAACTTGAAGAAAGTATTTATTCCTGGATCATAGTTGTTCTTAATGCAAGCACATCCTACGAGGGAATCATTTACTACAATAGAAATCATCAGATATATTGATGACTCTATGATGATACAAAATAAAGAAACAAAAAATTTCACCATATTTACTAAATCATTGAATACTAGTACATCCATATCCATACGGATAACATTTACCACTATTTCGTTATAAAATCGCTCCATTTCATCAAATGAAATGCGACCGTCTCCATTTAAATCCATTATTCGGAACCAGTATTCGATGCTTAAATTATAAAAGAATTGCTAAATTTTTTTTGAATTTGAACTTCAAATACTCTCTGAAATATAGTGTAGCCATTCGATTACAATGCGAGGGAGATGGTAAGTGAGATCATGACGAATATTGCAAAAACCTGATTTAAAAAAATTATTGTAGCGAAAATTAGACGAATCAAGTAACCGATAGCCTACCCAATGGTTAAATTAAACAGGACAAATTTGACCATTGTAACAATTATCTGCCTTCCGTATATAATTACTCCAATACCGCAAGATAAACTAACCTCAACAAGATTTGGGGTTATTTGATAAGCTCAGATAAACGATTATTTATGAAATGCACACATACAGAGACGGAAATAATATTTACCGACCTTTTCGGATGACATTTGTCAACTTCTGCTAATAAGAAATTGACAAATGCAATGTAATCTATAGTTTGCTTCATTGAACTATTCGACAATACAGCTCCAGAAAAAATACGTTGCACTACCAAATTTGTTAATGCTAAAAGTCTTTAGTTTTGTATCAATATAAAGAAATTTCAAATGATTACTTCTATTAATTAATTCATCGTACCACGAAGTGAAAGGTTAATAACAATCATAAATGATATCGTGCACGAATTCTCCACAGTATATGGCTTAATCAGAAGAAATTGTTCCCCAAATTGTTAGCTTTTTTCTATTGTAATAAAACTTACCACAGTTTGAGTAAAGAGAAAGATCAAACGGTGTTAAGTAATTCTTTTCATCTTTATCCAACAAATAAAAGTTACAGTAAATAACGTAAAAATGTTCGTAACTAAAAAATTCATGTTCTTCATTGATTTCTGCTTTTTCCAACATCGCAATTGCCTGCAACAATTTTTACCATTTTTCGAAAAACTCTAAGACAATTGAAATAAGAACAGGTGAGAAAAAATTTTATTTAGATATATTGGACTTCATTAAATTAAAATGACACCATTTCAGCCTACGTTAGAGCTTTGTTAAATTAAAATGATCCATTTCAATCTGAATTAGCGCTTCATTTACATTAGTCATTGTGCCGAATATATGATACAGACAATTAACTCACCTTTAATAGATTTGATAACCTCAATTCTGCTATTGAAATATGTTTTTTCCAAGAATGACACGCAGACCAGAAAATGCGCGCTGTCACCTGAAATATTTAAGATTTAAAATTAAAATGATAAATCTTATGAACAAAAAAATTCTTCACAACTGTTTTGATATATGCGTGATGGAAGGCTTCTGCTTCTTTCAATAAGCTTAGTGAAGGTAGTGTCTCAATCAAGTCCTGAATAAGTGGTTTAAAATCATCCGCAGTAAGGTAATTCCGGCTTCCGTTCGTTAAAATGTAAACAAAACGTGAAGCCTCATCGTGAGCGTTTTCTTCAAATCTGAAAAAAAAATGAAAAAGTATGCTATATTTAATAAAATTTTCGAAGATAAAAACGATAATTCTTTCGACTTAAACATAAAAGGTTGCCATTTATTTTAACGGATAATTCGATCTTTTAAAAGCATACTTTTTCCACCAATTTGTAAATCCATTAAAATTAATAAAATTTGACATTGAAGTAGAAATACAATTGTAAAGTGGTTGTTTCCAGAGTGGGCACAAACCGGATGCTAAACAAATTTCCTTCATATGCGACATTTCAATCTAAAAAAGGATGTAATGAGCAAATTTGTACTGTTTTATTCGTAACTCATTTTTGATAGATGATAGTTTCAATTTAAATAATTTACATTTTGTATGAAAATTTGATAATTCATTGTGTATCACATTCACTCACATAATGATGCTTCCATCCGTTTCAATACCCATTGAATCATTTAGCGCCTTTTTGAATTTTACATAAATTTATACTGAATGCTATACCTGATCATTATATTTACGAAATAGTTCTTTAACAGCATTTAGATCGTTGCAATTTTCTTTTCCGCCAAGTGGAATACCATAAGGATAGTGAAAACTGAAATATGGAGAATTAAGCATAAATCAAAATTTTCAACATTTTTGAAATTTGAAATTCGAATCGAACTTAAAAACTAATATACTTGCCGTGGAATGTTGAGTAAGGTGGGATCAGTTTCTTCAAGAATTTCCTCTTTATGAAACGTTGAGGAGTTAAGATGGTCTGATAAGAGTGCTTCGAAAGAACTGAAATTTGGAAGAAAAAAGCTTGAATAATTTTCGAATGCTATATTTGATCATTATATTTACGAAATAGTTTTTTAACAGCATTTATCAATAATAATAATCTCATTAAATTCGAAATTTATATTTGATAAAATTCCTACCTTTCATTCCGTTTTTCTTCAATTTTTTCAGAAGTTAACATATCACTGTTTCCCTAAAATACTCGAAGTTCAATTTGTAATTCGGTTATTTCACGAATGAATAAAAGCCTAAAAATTTCACCTAATTCTGTCAATAAAAGGAAATTTCCACAATTGCTTTATTTATCGGACTAAGCATAATAAATTCCCCTATTGATTTTTTTCTTTTTTTTTTCAAACTACCTCACATAGAACTAGTTTTTCTGTTTTGCGCTTAATTTGAAGTCTAATTTAGCCACCACGATACCTAGCAAGAATCTAGTGAAAATTTCTGCCATCTAGTTTTTTTTCGCTCTGTCATACGTGTTTACAACTTGAGGAGCAAAATTGATTGATCACAATGTGGATTTGCGCTTCTCTACAGCATTTCAAGGTATTTATCTGTTTCCGTCTAAAGCAACGTTCTTTTTTTTTCAAAATGTAATGCAAAGGAAATTCTTGCAAGTTATTGAGGATATATGATAATTAGAGTTAATTTTGAGTTTAGAAGTACGTTTCCTGAATTACCGAGATCTCATTTGGCCCTAAGAAATATTATGATAAATCTGGAAGAAAATCAGGAGAAAACACAAATGTTCTAAATCAGCTTACTCATTTACAGCTTAAATACTTTGAACTGATAGTGAAAAAGCATTTTATTTCCGGTCTTTAACGAAGGGTGTACATATCTTCCAGGATGTTGTAAGATCAATAATTTTTGTTAACTGAATCCTAATTTGAAATACCATCATAAACTTAAGATTTGAAGTTATCAACTCTTTGCATAACAAATACGTATTTAAAACGTCGTAAAGTTTATCATACCGAAAGGAAGGACGATGTAAACGAAGAGAAATCATTATCATTTGGATCATCAGGTATTACGCTATTTGATGAAGTGCTAGGAGTGGTATTCACTAGGTCTAGAATATCTTGCAATATACCGCTATCCAATATTTGTGGCTTTTCTAGCTGTAACTGTAACTCCAAAAAATGATTAAGAATTCAAAAGATCAGCAATTTGATGCATAAATAAATTATATTTAAACGCGCACCTTTCAGATACATGAAACGTATGAAGATTGAAAGGTTCAATCATTTCAAAAACACTTTTTACTTAACCTTTTTGTAGCGAGCTCTTTCACAAATTTTATAAATTACATTGATAGCACTGATAACGATACCGTATCCATGTCTTTTTCAACTAATGCTTTGTCATGCATATTCTCATCCGGAAACATAACATATGGATTCTTGTCATAATTCGGATAAGATGGGCTGTTCGGTATTTTTCTGTTACAATTCCAAGCATTCTCCTGATCTTGTTCAAAAATTTCAAACCGTTTAAATCTATAAAAAACGGTGCCGACAAAATAATGCATTTCAACTTGGACAGCATTGCTTTAGAATCTTTTTGCGTATTGCTTACGCAAATGCTATAACTATCCTAATCAATTCTCTTCGCGCTCTGTCGTGAAAAGAGGAAATGCCGGATACATAAAATGATAACTAGAAGGCAAACTTACTTTCTTGGCGTTTCCAAAAGCTTTGTGAATATATCAGGATTCTGAAAAGGATTACATTCAGAATACATTTAAGTTCCATTTATTAATATCATTTCGCTTGTGCAACAGAAAAAAAACAGAACATCGCGCAATTTATCAAATTAGTGGTACCATTATCGGTTGTAAAATATTTGAGTGTTCACTAATTTCTACTTCAATTTCATGGTCAACAGTATCCATTTTAGATCCATCAAAACTTGCACTGAAAACAAAAACTAGTCTTCATAAACAAATATGAAGAATAATGTTTAGAATTTCAAATCAGTCTTTTCAAAACTAAATTAAAAATAATAGAAGAAATCTGCTACTTCTAATATTTACCGTCCATAATTTTGTAGCATTAGTTTTAAATGCTATACGATAAGATTCTAATTGACGAAACTAATAGAGATGAAATGAAAAATGATGAATAGGACAAACCTTTCAGAATGGCAATTTTTTCGAAGTATTTGCATGGTAGGAAAGGATGAAAGTGGTGGAGATAACACTGCATTCTAAACGTATAGTTCATAGCTAAATTTAGTTTTAAATTCAAAGTGAAAACTAGAAATAAGATGGGATAAATTCAATAGTTCTTGCTCCGACAAAGAAAGCAAAATGTGGATCAATGCTCATTCTATACAGTTTTCATTTTGAAAACTTGCGAATTTAAATTACATAATTTTTAAGTTTTATTCTTCAGCCACTACAATATTTAGTGGTTAAACAAAGGAAAATGTAAGCGCTTACAGCTATGTTGATGAGATTACGTTTCGAAGTTCGTATAGGAGTAGCGTACGATGGTGAAACTGGTGGTAGCAATGTTGTTGAATTGCTTTGCTGTATAGCTGCCACTCCACTGCTACATTTTTTGTCATCAATTTTCTCTGATAGCCCACCTAGATTCATTATCTTCAATACAAAACTATCATTATTATTGCCATCATCATTTATAACTTTCACAGCATTTTGGTGCGATCTTGACTTTCCAAACTCTTGCAAAAACATGCACAACTATGCAATCTCACAACATTATAATACTTTATATAACATAATTTTCCCAAGATTTCCTCTCTCGTGACAATGATAATATTTCGTATCATTTCGAACATAATCAATTGATTTTTTTTCAACTCGATTTCTCGACTAAAGGAAGAATAAAGAAGCAAGAAAGATACTCTGGTGTAACACGGGAATAATGCAAATTAGCGTAAGACTTGAGCACAGTGGAAGTACAAAAAATGTACCGATGTAGGAGCATGAGGTGTAAACTGTTCTTTATATGAAATTGCTAATGTTCCATCTATCATCTAAAAAATTCCATATATCATTATCTGAAGTTCAGAATCATTTCTGCTCTCTAAATGAAACGAGAAGATTCACTATTATAAAAAATCTTCCGAGCACTGCTGAAAACTTCTGACATTTTCCTAAAATATTTATTTTACTATCCTCCAGCACTGCTTCAGAAATTTTTGAATGCATTGTTATATTTTTAAATACAAATCTTATCTTCGATAGGATAATTTTCTGATAACGTGTGATCAGCTGGGATGATATGAATTAAACGAAATACTTACCGTCATTGTTTCAAATGCCGTTTGCATAATTTATTTTGATCTGCAAAGTAGCACAAGGTATCTTTCTAAATTGAATGAAGAAATCAAAAGTAAAATTTTAACTGGAGCAATATAGCTTAAAAGCAGATGAAACTTCTCAGTGGAGCTACTATAAAATTCCATTTGAAAAATGGATATGGATAAAATAATTCTTTACTGAAATTCATGGCACCCAAATTGGCCATAATTAAGATCTGATAAGTACATAACGCACCATTTTTCAATCAAATAGCTTCAACTTCAAGTAATTTTTAAAAAGAAATATCCCAAAAAGAAGGAAAAATAACACTATGAAAATGCTGGGAAATGGATGAACGATGCAAGGATTAGATTATTTCTCAAATGGAAATTGATTAAGTGAACAATTTAGATATCTTCCTGAAAGAGCAAATGGTCAAAAATTTTACTTAGGCATCGTTTTCTAGATAATTCTGCATGTTTCAGTTTGGATCTTCATTCACATATTTTTCGTGCAACCTATCTACAGCGAAAATTAATTTTTATTAATTATTACACTTCAATTCCAACATCACATATTTCCGATTATTTTCATATGCATTCCCAGTTACCCTTGCAAGATGCCTAATTCATAGAAAAATTTTTACTTTTTGCATTTCCAAATCTTCTCAACAGATTTGCTTTTTTTGGCTAATAAGGTAGAGTTGGCTGATGCAATGAACAGTTCGGTGTTGCTCGCATGTAAATTTTTTCGCACACGGTACTTTATTCAGTGAGTAAATAAGGCCACTCCCGGTAGACGCACGTGTCATTTATGAATATTGAAGTTAAATGCATCCTATTATAGAGTTTGATACTTTCTCGCAATAAAGTAGATCTGGAAATAACTTGACATTAGGCTAAATGACTAATTAAGCAGTATTTGCAGGATTTATAAAAATTACCTCACCATACAACTACAATATAATAACGTTCTGTATCATCAAATCAAAATCTTGCTGTGGAAATCAGATCAAATAGAGTATAAGTTCATTGCCACATATCGCACAGGATAGTCTGTATTGCATCACTTTGCAAACTATTTGTTAACAATCTCCTTCTATAACTTTAATACTAAATCTTGTCCACAGAAAATAATATTATATTTGACATTCACAGATTCAAAATTACTTCACAGAGTAGTTAGAGAAAGTCAGGTATAAATTTCATTACTCATGGACCAAATTCAAACAGTGGACAACTTTTATAGCCTGCACAACATGATAAAGTAATGATTTTTTACGACAGTGGGAATGAAATGGACATATTAAAGAATATAACAGATAATGACAACGGTCTTTATGAGGTTTCGGTGAAAGTGGCCGAACTGAAAATTTCTACAATTTCCATAGCTAACTGTGTAAGTTCGCCACATTCATGCAAGTTTGTAAGAATAGCAACGCAAGTTCCATCAGTACCGGTAAAATTATGGTCTGGTTTGATAAGGAGAACAGATGACGCACCCACACCAGCACCAGTGTGCAAAAAAACTCTTCGTGGCCAGGTATCACTTGAGCCTCCATATTTCTGATCCTCTCCATCGATTTTATACCAACCAAGAGCGTACACATTTCCTCGATGATCTGAAATTTCACCCTTCCAAAATGTTTTCATGGTTTCGGCATCGAGCAAAGGCTTCATTCCATTATTTTCGATTGATAACTGTTGAGCTGCATGATAACTGAAAATGGCATATTTAAATTTCTTCTTGAAACTTATAAATTTTTTCGTGAATTTTGGGTAAAAATTTGATATGCTATTTTGGATATTCCATGTCTTCAATTTATGGTTGGGTTGCAAATCTAGCGATAATGAACTCGAATTTACCTATACAGCATTGCATTAGCGAAAATCAGTAAATCAGTAACAGTGGACAACAATCCGCCACCAGCCCATTTGCTTGAATTGTCTACTTCCGGAACATTCCTTAATTTATGATCCGGATCACGATAATAATATCTGAAACAAACGATTTGCAAGAATATTATCGATTGAAATTTTCATAAAACTACGTTTCATAATAAGAACATAACTAGGAATAGCACTACAAACCGGAAGTAACCTCATATAGGCTTTCTCTTGAAATAGGATTCCCACCCATTTAACCGTTCTGAAACAACCTTATGTTTTGGTTAGACCTCAGCGGGATTTCTATATATTTCGAAGTGTCAAATAATTTAAATAATTAAGCCGGTAATGAAACAAAACCAATGCAATGCGAAAAGATAAATAAAAAGTTTTATAAGATGCACAAAAATACCTGGCTCGATTAGAGATGAGAGGAAAATTGAGGTCAAGGTATGAGTGACTCATCCCTAATTCCCTGAATAAATCTGTTATTTGTTCCACATAGGTTTTATTGGCTGCTTTTTCTAATGCTGCACTGAGTAAGGTAAATCCGTGAGTTGTGTACTGGAATTTGCTTCCCGGCTCTGCTACTAATTCATCATGTTTGAAAATTTCCAGTGCATCTTTCACACACTCGTAGTGAATGTTGGAAAAAAACTCGGATTTATCCTTCAGCTCGACACTTTGATATCGAATTGAATTGCTTTTACCGTATTTCTCCTGGAAGATTAGACCGTTTAAAAAGATTTTCCCATTTCAATAAATGTATCAAATAAAGAATCTGCACTCCATTTGACATTAAAACAGATAAAATTATTCGAAAACAATGTTAAGATGACTAGCACCGGGCCTCTTTCGGAAGACGTGCAACATTTGAGGACATCAACGTACACCTAAATCAAAAGGGAGAGATGTTGTGCTAGATACCTGGCTATACCGATATTGCATGCATTTACCGGGAATGAAATATAGCGTAGTTGCAAATATGCCGAGTTCATCTTATGATATTAATCAAGCAAAGCCATTTCGTTCGACCTATCCATTGTCCAAAATAGTAAAGTATTTTGTAATTTTGAGTCCGGTTAGTCAGAATGACAAAACTGAGTTATTTTGATTCACCCAATTCAGAATTTAATTTTACAAGTTGTGTAATGGAAAAAATTAAAAAGATTATTGGGGAACGTTAAAGAGAAAGAACACATATACCTTATATTTTGTATTTATTTTATGCAGTAAATTCTTCACATTACCATCGACCCCTGTTTCAGCCGCTTCCTTTAGTTCTCGCACAAAATCTTCCACGCTCGGCTCAACCGGCTGTAACATAAACGATTAAACTGGAAAAATATCAAAAACAAATCATGGGCCACAAAAATTTTCATACCGTGGCATGAACATCTTATGTTCGACTATACGTCGGCATGATTTAGTGAAGGCTTCGCGGCGTTTGTGTTTGGTGGGTTTTGGCGTGGTTTTTGGAGTTGGGCAGGAGGGATGGAGAGGTGGGGAGGGATTGGTATGTCGAGATTTATTAAAAGTTTCGAACAAGCTTATTTTAAGGATACATGGTTTCGACAAAGCTACCCTCATTTTTATCCTCGACCGTCAGCACAGGAGTCACAAATGCATTTTACCACAAAAAAGTTATTGATCACTACGAAAATCCACGAAATGTAGGAGCACTCGATAAGAATGATCCGAACGTTGGCACAGGCATTGTTGGATCACCGGCCTGTGGTGATGTTATGAAACTTCAAATCAAGGTAAATCCTTTTATAGGATGTAAATCGTGAACTGTTTCATGAATTTGCAACGCTGGTTAGAACAGGGGCTGTAAGCCCCACTGGCTGATTGCATTTTAAAGACAGCAGTTTTACTGCCTATTTCAGTACAATGTGGTGTTAGTTTGGAAACATTTTTTTTTTGTACCCAGGCTGGCAATAGGCATTTAGTAGAACTATTGGAGCACTAGCTTTGCAAAGAAATATGACGCCATATAATGGAAGTTAGAAATTCAAAACATTGCATATCATTCCAAAGTCAGGTCGATGAAAGTGGCAAAATAATTGATGCAAAATTTAAAACGTTTGGTTGTGGCTCAGCGATTGCGTCAAGTAGTCTTGCTTCTGAATGGATTAAAGGCAAGACAACAGAATATGCTTCGAGAGTCAAAAATGACGAGATTGCGAAAGAACTCTGCCTGCCTCCAGTCAAACTCCATTGCTCCAGTAAGTTACAGACTTCTGTGTTTGCTTCCTCAACATTTTTGCATACTGTGTCTTCATACGTCATCATTTATAACTGATAAATTTTTTGCAGTGCTGGCACAGGATGCAATCCAGGCAGCTCTAAAAGACTATAAGAAAAAACAGAAGGGATCGAATGGTTGATTGATATTGAGCAGTTATTATATACATTTAGAGTATAATCATTTTTTGCTACATGAATGTTGTTGGAATATTTTTATTCTTACTTGCGAGATAGTAGTAGATATTTCCCGTGTGCTTTGTTCATATTGTTTGTAAAATAAAAAGTGATCCCAAGCATTTTCTGCGGTAGATTCTCTGTTAGCATTTCCTTAGAGATGGCTTGTCACACTTCTATCCACTGCTCTAATTTATTTGCATATGTCGATTTACGACGACTCTTTAGGGCAGTCCCGACAAGTAGTCATGCTTAAAGATGTGTAGCTAAATGCGTGAAGTGCTTGCAATGTGCTTCTTCCTAAACTTTGCATCATGTGCCAAATACGCTCAACGGAACAAAACCTACGTTTTCGGAATAGATAAAACATGAAAAGTTAACCGTTTTGTAATGTCTGATACCGCTTGTATGGCTCAAAAGTTGACGGATTGTTATGGTGACATCTTTCTCGTTATATTTCTTTTTTGGGAAATCCGGCACATAGTCCTGTAATTCATTCCGTATATATATGTAATTTCTCATATGTAATTTCTGAAAATGAAGCGAGTATGTTTTCAGTAATCAGTATTGATGATTTCTTCCAGTACTGGCGATTTGCAAACTTTCCACTACCCTACACAAAGAAGTTCCCATAATAAAATATCAGAACCTGAACAGAAGCATCCAATTCAAGCTTTCCGCTTTGGACCAGACGTGCGGCAAGGACAGCTGTTACCGGTTTGCTTATACTGGCAATTCTCATCACTGTACCACTTTTGCATGGTACCAGCTGTTCCACGTCTGCGTAACCGTACCCTTGTTCCCAGATACATCGGCCGTTACGTGAAACACCTATGGACAGTCCTGGGACTCCATTTCTCACCTGCATCATACATCAGATTGACTTCATTCCATATAATTCAGTAATGATAACATTCATTGTCTGCCCCCATAAACTTACCTACCCAGCTCTTGAGTAGATAATTTAATCTAAATCAGTGGTGACTTCATGTATGGATAAGTTAGCGACACCATGAAACAGAATAGTTTCCGATCAGGTTCATTGAAATTAATAATTTTCGGACGTCAAAAGAAATTTACGGCTCATTGCTAGCTTTTCACTGTTAATTACTGTTAACTGTTTCCACTAGAGTACCATGAACTGCTTCACGATAGTATCCGCTTTCTCCTTCTGTTCAAAATACCTTGGGGTACTGCACGACTGACGATCGTTACTAAATCCTAGTGCAACACATGTGATCGATAATGGAAGAGCCAAGGAGTGATGCCAGCGCATTCTCCGCTTTTTCCTAAAAAGGTTGAAAGAGAAAGATCTATTGCCTTAACTTATAGCCGAAAAACGAGGTGCCAGTTATGACGTGCAACAACATAAATAATACAGGTGCACGGAAAAATGCGGCCACAGCAACCCAGCAATCGGTGGTTGAGTTCAGAACTGGATCTTCTGATCGCTGTAAGTAGGTTCACCTATCGGATGAATTGACTATAGTTATTGGTAGCTATTCCCTGAACTTTCCGAAACTTGGTGTAATAACCGTTACATTTGGAAGTTTGAGATGGAGAGAAAATCATATACATATGTGTGTGTGTATGTGAGATGTAAATTATGAACAGACGATGAAAAAGTCATGTGAACTTATATATGTTTCAAAAGGGAGTATCACTTTTATCAGAAAATGGCGCAGTTGGGTATTCTCAGGATTTGTTGATTTTATCAGTTCCTCCAGTTCATTACAGATAGTTGTTTTTACACTTCTCTTTTTTTAAATAAAGTTTTCAAATATTGATTAGATAAATTATGAAGAAAACATGCAGTCCAGTAATAATATGTTACAAAGGTTGTATACATATTTGTGTACCAATCTTATCTGTAAAATAAACTCAGCACGACATCTCTTTGGCATGTCACCTGCATGTTTTCAGTAGTGAATATACAGAGTTTCATGGTTTATTAGAATTTTAACTGAAGAGCCTGTTGGATGAAAGATGGTGTAGTTTGGATACTATACTTTAATAATATGTAACAGACTTTCCAGGAATAAGGTAGAAATGCGATCATTAAAGAATTGAAACTCGGAAATTATATAAGACAGGTTAATAGGATATGAGAGATAATGCAAGTATCGAAGTTCAAAGAAACGCAAATTGCTTGCTTCACATGTAAAACTGAGAGAACTGAAGTTTTGACGTTAATATATTTGGTCTTGATTTGAGCTCTACAAAATAATAGTAATTTTCCCGTTTTTTGGACTATTTTTAGCAATCAAAGATCAATTTGCCTTTTCAACTCACAGTTTTGTAAGTTATAATATCTTTCAGAATAGATTTCAAAATGGTTTTTTCTGTGGTTGTGATTTCTTAACGACCTATCATTTCCATATTCTTCACAAAAAGTATAAATAATGTCTTAGTATTATTACTTCGAAAATCATTTTTTCGAAGTTTAGAGATAGCTCCTTCTTAAACCATGTAAAGATTTGAAGAAGGCCAAAATTATTGGAATTGGTGCAATATATTTTTAGCGTTCGCGCCACTTACGTGGATAGATTCGCGGAAGATACTCGTGGTATCAGCCGCTAAATCAGTTTATTTCAGTTGTTTCTGATTGCTATCTCATTAATTTGAGAAATATTCTATTAGCGAAAATTTGTTGCATGATGTGATACATATTCAGAGCTAATAAACTCAAAGAAGGGAGGAACAAGGGGACTTCATACAAAATTATGTTTAAACATAGGAGTTAAAATTACCATAGTGCTGGAAATTTTGACATGGTCTAATATCTCTGCTTCGTTCTTAACCATTCATGAACAATGCTTCCATTTAGAAAAACATTTTTTAAGAATTGCCTATCACTGTACTTATCGATGATTACATCAATAGTCTGCCCGTTATCACTTGTTTGCCCACACTATTTACTATTTACTATTTACTTGATTTTGACAAGCAACGTCTCTTTCGTTTTCTATCTTGTTGGGACCATTAACGAAGCCCTAGAAAGGGAGGTGGAGGAGCATTGTTACTTTCAAACATAATATTTGAAAATAGTGCTTTCATTTAGATAGAAAAATATTTTCTAAAAGTTGCCCATCACTGTCTTAAAAGTATTTTCTGGGAATTTGTAACACAGTTAAATACTTGTGATGCAAGTTTTATTATTTGATGGAGAATTTACTCTTCTTGGACATTATAAAACAATTATCATAAAATATCACTTATACGGTAGGTCGTTAGGTTTGGTATGGATAGCAGTACTTCTGGGATTTTTAAATCTGCTTGGGGTAAAACATTGATTTATAACATACTTTGGTTATTTCGATACATTTATAATATGAAATTATTTGGTTTCCTGACAGTTACCAATAGCCTGACAAGTGAATATAATAGCCAAAATAGTTTAATAACTAAGGAAGTTCATGCTCGATCGCCTATAACATTCAGTCGGAGTAATTTAGAAAGATCGCAATGAGTGCCATTCTAGATACTGTCGGTAGTATGTGATGCAGTCTAACAAGCATTAATGTGCCAATTTATTCTAAAATATTATGAATAGCCTATAGATTCAAGCGATGCATCCAGCTTCGTATAGCAAAGATACTTTGCGTTATTTCCATTGCTCTTGATGTGCGCAGTCTTTCAATGTTCAACGGTTTTATTTTATCACTATCATTTGTCATTTGATAAAGTGCATTAAATATTGAAAAATCATTTGTCCATCTTATACATGTTGCTATAGTGGTCCAGCTGTCAACATTACCATGGTACCTTGGATATCAGGAACTTTCGAATGCTTAAATCTGTTTGCACAAGTGTCGCACAAGTAATATAATACTGAAGTTCCTCAAATAAGTTTCGAATTATTCGAAAATTTTAACTACCGCCAATTTTGTGTGTTATCGATGAAATGGAACACAAAGATAATCTTGAATAACAGAAGTTTGACTAGGTGCAAAGATTAATCATTTTAAAATTTAAATAATGTTACATGTATTTTGAAATTAATGTCCTGATGATATATTTCAGAAACATTGCTGCAAGATTTCCCGTACTAGACTTTTATTTTTAATTAGTAGTACTTGCTTGGGTTTTACTTGAAACATATATTATTCACTTCTCCTAACCTGAATGCTCCCTTCGTTTCCTACTTTTTACTTTTGCATAATGATCTCGTTGTCGTGCTCTAAGTGTCAACTCAGGTTTGCATTTTGGTAATCGGACAGTGATTATCTTTTTCTTTTTTTCATTCCTTTTTTTTTTAACTTTGAGTTTGATCTATATTATTGCTTTTGAGACTGATCTATATTCTTCCTATGCCGATATTGCCAATCTTTCCAGAACATTATAAATTATTTTAGTTGATCACAACTTACTTCACCAATTTTTATATACCAAAACCAAGTTCCTACTCCTCCCACATTTTCCAATTTTGCAAGTAGTAAGTTTGTGCTACAAAAATTATAGATTATGTTGACCTTAAAGGATAATTATGCATCGTGTCAGTATTAATTACCTCCTAAAGCTTTGCATGGAACTGTTGTTAGTAATTTGAGTTTACATGTTAATGAGGTTAGGTTTAGTTAAACTACATTTGAGCAAAGATATGCGAGAGTTGTGTTTAGCACTGTTAAATTAGTTCATTTAACGATTTAAGTTTGGGATGGATTTTGAGTGTCGGAAGTTTATATAACACTTCTTAGATCTTTTATCTGGTTTTGGCAAATCGTAGCGGGATATTTTCAATAACGAACAAGATAAGATAGTGAAAAGTTTCAAAATAACAAATTGAATATTTTCAAAGCAGCACACGGAATGGGGACAACACAAATGATGTGATTTGTAATAGGTTTAGGTTTTTGAAAATGAATGGAAATCCTTCTAGGATTTTTCTACATTTGAAAAATCATGCGATGAATTTTGGTGATGATAAGCTGGAACAATAAAGCGGCTGCCTTCAGCAGAATGCACACGCGCACCATAAACTCCATTGTTCTTTACATTAGAACTCCGGCAAAATTCCGTTTAATTATTCGGAAAATTGAAAAGCCTCAGGCACGAAAAACTTCGAGGCGAAGATCCACGACATGGGACAAAGAAATCGACGCTCATTCAACTGTCGTTATGCAATCAATTTCAATAGTCATTTCCCAAGGGCATTGTAGTTTGTTGCCACACAGACCACACACGATGCTTTGGACGGATCTGATGAGGTCACTATTTTGTCACTCTGTCGTAATCTCTATCATTTAGCACATGATGACGTCATATTGAAATTAAATTCTTTATTTTTGAATTTGGCGCCCTTGGAAGTTTTCAAATTAAAACTGAATTAAAACTTACCAAACCATGCATAGAATTGTTATCGATCGAGCAGAAGGAAGATGTCATTGCATTAAGATCATAATAAAAATTTTAAAAGACTGAATATAAAAAGACAATCAGTACTATTGAGAACAGAATCTTTGCTATCATCAGAAGGTAGATTGTACTGATAACGATCATGATACCAAAAAAATCATTTGTAAATACATTCACTAGCACACCGTATAATCTTATTCTTTTTTATAAATTCATTCATATGAATTTTTATATTTATTTAGTTAATACAGTGTATCTATATATATTTTTTGTAAATAATATAATATTGCTTCACTTAATAAATCATAATTATCTCATCTTCTTCTTTGGTATATCTGCAATAGTTGGTGAGTGCAGTAAATCTTAGTTCAACTTTAGTTTTAAAATGAATGGTAGAATGAAATCACATGAATTTTATCCAATTCAAAATAATGCAATGACTAGTACGAATTTGTTAAAAAGAAAAAGGAATTCCAAAGAAAGATTACTTTAAAATACATTTCCCTTATTTAAAGGAACAACGAATTTATCATAGTTGAACTTTCAAAAAAAAAGGTCAGTTATTTAAAGAACAGTTTTCTTCCATCTCTTCATTTTTCTTCTACACCAAATGTGCGCTGATAATTTTAAAATAATTCTCTGTTAAATTTTGAAGCTAATTAACATCAAATACTTTGCTGTTTCATTACGTGTCGTTGTGACAATTCTTCTCGTTTATAAAACCACCATTTTGCTTAGGCCTGCTGAATTTCTAAAACATAGCAATTTTACATTTCTATCCGTCTCTATATGCCAATTCACTTAGTTTTAAAAAATGCTATTCTTCCATTTAATCTCTCATGTATCATTTTAGGGGACAAAATCAAACTAAATGTAAACCAAATGTTATTCGAACAAAAGCACTCCGATACTTCATTTTTGTATAAATAGCTGTTTTTATAGGCCTTTAGTAGGTTACAATTGAGAGGTATGAATTTTTTCTCCCGGTTATTTTATGTAAAATTTACTCTTGTTTTGATTAATACTTTCATTTTTGTCGCCATTTCTTTTTTCTACATCAAATTTTTGAGCAACAAGAAGAACTCAAATGAATAATTGGGAAGAGAACTTTTCTTTCAAATAGTAAAATATTCTTTGATTATCTCATTTGATTGAATTACAAATTCAGAAGTTTGTTACTTCTGTACTAAATAAATCCGTTTATCTGTACAATGTATTTCAACATCGATGCTATTGAGGACAATCAGTTTCATTTATATCAGTTTGTGTGATAATATCACCAAAGGATCAACGAAGAATTTCTATCCTTATAGAGCATTCTGGAAATGGGTAATTATTTGATTTAAATTAACAATTGGAACTGTCCTCTGTTGCCACTCCTCTGCAACGAAAAGAAGAAATTCACTTATCCTTACGAAGCGATTATCTGCTTTCTAAACATTTAAAATCTAAACATTTAAAAATTAAAACTTGACTAGAAATCAAATTATATTATTATATACTATTTGTTACGTCTTATCACCCCAATCACTAGCTTTTTTTTTGCAGAAGCATTACGACATTATTTGAAGTAGGTATACCAGAAGATAGTTACTTGAAGAATCAAGAATAGAACACAATTTTAGCTAAACAAAACTTTTGTGACACCTCTAAAAATTTAACATGAAAAGTTGAATTTAAACATCCTTCAATTTCTATAGTGAACAACAAAATGATGTGTCATTAAGGATGCACTAAATGTGTTACAAATAATATCGTTTGGTTCGCTGGTATTAAATTGAATCTTAAAAAAAAACACTTCCAATACTTATTTGCAATATTCATTTAATAATTCCCTTTTAATCACTAATATTTCTTTTTGGAATTTCTGATCATAATTAATTCATCAGTAAATGCATGATTAAATGTGCAACGGATAGATGAATACATCTGTATGGATTCAAGTGCTAATATAATTTCGTTTCATAGATAAATATTATCCATGTGTACAGGATATAATAAAATTTGATGATGAGTTGTAGGCAATATATTGCAAATGCTTCATTTATTGAATGAACATTATAAAACAGTAAGCTTATTAGAATCAGAAAAACGAATGTTCTGCCGATTCATTTATCATCAACTAATATCACGAGAGAAGAATAAGTGATAAGTGTTAATGATTACGTAAATGTACTATTTCTTTCTTTCATACATTTTTTTTGCATTTTTTCTTGTAAATTTCCATGTATAAACATTTGATGGATATTTCCGGAAATCCGATAATTGTCAAATGTATATAACAAAGGATTAATTACCTTCTAAATATTATTCAAACTATTGCGTGGGTATATTCAATGGTGATTTATAAAGCATACTGCTAAGAGCAGCCATAAAAAGGAGATACTTCTGGGTTTATTGTTTTATACACTACATTTCTTCCGATCAAGCGATACTATGATAAATTGAACTGAAAGATTAAAAGGCATGGATTCAATTTTCGGGCTACCATAAAGCTTTTATAAAATTTCATTGAAATATGTTAAAAGTTATAAGCACAGTTATTTATCCCTAAATAACAATTAAAGTAACTTAAATAAACGAGATGGAACAAAAGATTTTGCTAATTTATCATCGATGGCAAATAAAAAGAAGTTTGATTTAACTTTAAGCTTATCTTATCAGGAGTTACATGGATCAGTTGAAAAATATGTAGAAATGAAAGTTTAGTTGTAGATCGACGATTACTTGATAATTGGAATCTTTGGCAAAGAAAGTTGAAACTCACTTAATGGATTTAAAATGATAAATAATGGTTTACACATAGGAAGGAAGTGAAAAACACTTATGAACTGTGATGTCTTCTTTTGCTTATTGCCTAATATGTTGCATTGTTCTCAATTATGGCGACAAATTGAAGGCAGTTATTCTGTAGCTTTAGCTTTATACAATTGATAGTTCCTTCTTCGTGCAATCATTTGCAGTAAATTTAGGTGCACATTTTACTTAAAATCATATGTGTACTTTTTTGTCACTACAATTTTTTTAAAAAATATTACATACAATCATTTAGAAATTAAATGATATTTTTTTGATTACAAAACATTTGTTCCATGAAAAAATATGCTTACTTGGATCATGAAACCTGAAAAATGCTTCAGTAGTGTAGCCAAGCATTTTCAGGTTTCATGATCCGATATTATATCAGGAAAAGGAGAACACTTACAAATTTTTACTGAAGCACATAATTAAAGGTGTCAGTTTTGAAAGAATACTGTCCCTATCAGCATTTTATATTTCCTCCAATAAGTTCATTAATAAGTAGCAGCGAGAATTACTTTTATCTATGCTGAAAATTTTCAGATTTATTGTTTAAATTCCACGAAAAATTGCAGGACATAAAAGCTAAAGGAGGCTAAGAGAGGAATTGTCGGTTTTAATTTTTACACTTACTAAGTTTATTCACAAACACATTAATTTATAAGAACTAAGCTTGAAGACAAGTATGACAGACAGCTATTTTGCCTATTATATATTTTGAACTAACATTTGTACGACAGAAGACATCTTTAACAAAAAACTTTCCTTTACTGTAACTGTTTTAAACTGATTTCTTATGCACAATGAATACATTAGAAAAGTAAAAAATAGTTGTGTGATACTTTTCAGTACGCATTTTCCCTTAAAAACAACATGTTCATTTGTCCTCGCTCAAATAATTTCTATCCTGACAGGATTGTTGCTTCATATGCGCATCTTCTGTTATCTGGAAATTGTTCTGATAATTTTCTCAACACTGATGGTGATAGCAGTAGTAGTAGTAGTAATCGATACCTGGAGATACTACTAATTCTGGAAGTATATTGCTGCATATCCCAATTTTTTTTCCAACTGATAAATCAATAATATTATCATTCACCATTAAAATTTTTTTCTTCTTTTCTAACCAGATGTTGGTTGCTTTTCCGTTTTCGCTTTCTTCTTCTTGATAATAATGATTAATTTGGATAGAATTCTACCTCGATTTTTCAACTTTATCAAATGTTCTCAAAAATCCATCTTCACTTTCGCATTATTTCATTTTGTTTACCAAATTTTGCAGGAAAATATGCCAAAGATAAGAGCTGATACCAAACTTATCATAATATTTTAATGTAGCAGCAAATTTCTTCTGATAGTAATATATCATTTTTGATGAAAGTTTCATTTGACGAATTATTTTTGTTAAGTTTTTAATCCTCCCAGCTGAATAAAGAGAAAATTATCGATTTCATTTATTCAATTATAAATTTATGTAACATTCCTTCTTTAATGAAATGATATTTCTAAATTATGCCGGAAGTTAATGTGAAGAAATTCTTTATACTCCAACGTCATATCTCTTGGTATTTTTCGCCACTGTACAAGATCGAAAACATTGTAGGACCCCTTTTCATATGTTGATGTCTGCTCCTTGACACCTCCATATTGCGATCGCGTTAACCATACACGTTGACCTTGAAGAAATGTATACAAATTGAAGTAATAAGAATATTTTGAAAATTTAATTTGCTACTTCAATTTGAGAAAAAAACAATTCTTATGCAAATATCAAATGACTATTGTTACAATTAGATTGCACTAATATTGCAAATAATACAACAATGTTCATTGATAATTAGTGATTTATTGATTCTGATTTGGGATATGTTGTTAAATTGTTAAGTTTTTCTCATTTATATATGCAAAGATTCCATACCATGCTCTACCAGTTTGATCTTACTTTCATCCCGTTGATATCTTCAATGAAGTGCTCAACAAACCGAGAAACTGACAATTAGCACAATGATAACTCTTTGAAATTTGAATTCTGGAGTTATAAGAAAAAATTTGTTCAAAATAAGATTACTGAGATTTACGAAGGACTTTGATTAGTTCACGTCAAAAACGTGAACATTAGTTAAAGTTAGGTTTATTAATGGATAAAACTTGCTGCAAGTCTCTACTCTCATATTAGCAAATCATAACTGCAGAGTTATAATTGAATGTCCACCTCTCTTAGTACTTTGCAACATGACAAGAAACTCGTAAAATTTGCAGAACTTATACATCCAAATCTTCTGTTTTCCACGATCTACAAAGTCGGAAAATACGTTTATGGAATCATTCCGAAACAGAACTGTAAGGTTGACTAATGCATTAATACCAGCGATTTGCCATGCAAATATTATGGGAACGATGTATAGCATTTGTTGGATAGTAATGTGGCAGCTGCCTAAGGAGGTGGGAGATGGAGTGCGACCTGAGCTGTTCAACAATCTGCACTACTGCTTACCACGGCTGTTGCATTCCTTCACAAACCGTTGCGCCATCCTTGTCTTGTCCACCAATAATGCTCATAATCTATTTATTTATACCTTCACTACTCCTATTAGATGTTGTTATATGTACTTCCGAAGAACCTGAGGTATTTCTCTTTAAATAATAATTCACATCCTATTCTCTCTTCATCATTGCTAACATATTACAGCTTCTGTTTTACTAGGAAAACTTTTAATTCTTTTAAATTACTGAGAAAGTTTTTTTTATTTAAATTTAGAGACATTTCTATATTTTCAAGAACTTATCTAATTCTGGAAATCTTTTTCATAGAAAAAAATCTACACAATAAAGTATGACTTTTTAAGGTAACCTTTGAACAATTGTACAAATATGGCAAAAATGAGTATACGAACGGTAACTGGAATGACTGTATTTCATTCTTTTTGCGATCAATCGAGGATTTCGATTATTTTGTGGAAGAAAATGTGTGGTGTCGCGAGAAGTGTGCACGACAGCATAAAATAAACAGGCAGACAGGTCTGTTTATTTTATCTAATATTTCTATTAAGTTTGCTTCCACTGATTTTATCCTTACTGCATTAGGGATTAAAAGCGCTGAGGGACAAAGATGACAATTTAATTTCTACAAGTAAACAAGCTTTTTGATTACATCAATCCTGGCAAATTCTGGATTTCTTCATCTTTTTATTCTAACTACTTTATGCAGATTATCTGTTTCCTTGTTCACTTTAATGATATGGATAAATTTTATCTGCCTTTAAAATTTATAGAATTAAAAGATGCCGGAGAAGATATTGCGGAGATAGCAATGATGTACGCAAATGCGCAACATGCATTGTGCTTATTCCGGTGTAAAAATGACCGGCTAACATCAATGAGACCTCCAGTAAATGATCCTGATATTTTTGAGGAGTTCCAGGCCAAAAAGCCATATCAATATCTACAGATTTGCTACTGGAAGGTTTCATTTAACAACTGTTTTTCAAAATATTTTTTCTTCAAAAATTTCCAATTGATTTATATCACTTTAATGTAGTTTTACTCTCTAAAATAAGCCACTTTCAGCAAAAAGATTTAGCATCAGCAGTAAGAAGTGCCTATACATATTTGGTGGCAAATCCGAAAGATCAGGAAACGTTGGATAATTTAGCATTTTACATGGAACAAGATGGGTATAATGAAGATATGCTTATCGACGCTCGACAAATGAAATATGAGGTGAGTGAACGAGATTTTCTAATCATATTCCTCGATAATTGATAAATAAGATGATCGGCGCAAAGGTGAGAATAATTCCAAACTTGACTGGTTGATGAAGAGTCTATCTGAAAAAACTTTTTGTCTTTGAGTTAAGACTTTTCCGCCTTACATATAAATTATATTAACTCTTCAAACTACATGGCGGCATTGTATGAAACTGACGGCATTGTATGTGATTTCATGCATGTATGTCATTTATTATTCAAGTCATCTGGTATGTGAAATATGAAATGGTCGAAAAGATGTTTACTAAGTGAGACTTCAAAATTATTATTCATATTTAATTCAACATAATTAAATTGTTTCTGGATTAGGCAAGCTATATGCGAGGTGTCAAAGCATACAACGATGAAGAGTGGCAATTGTGTGTTAATGAATTCGAAACTTCAGTGAAGCAGTTCTTTGAAGAAGAGCAAAAATGTCGACATATTTGCGAAGATAAATTAAATTGGGAAACGTTTGATAGTGCCAATCCGGAAATCACTATTATTGTCACAAGTTTGTATTAACTGCATTATTTGTGTGTGGAATTTTCCGAGTATCTTACAGAAATTCCACAGATTAATGTTAAGCATTTGTTTCAGGTTTATATTTGTCAGTATTACGATGTAAACATGACTGTGTTGAGAAGTTGTCACGAGTAAATGGTCATGATGTTGGCTTCATTCTTCCAACATATTTCGAATATCTTCATGTTTGCTACTACAAGTGTTAGTTTACCTGTAAAACAAAGAAAGACGGAGTAAAATGATATTTAACATCCGTACATCCGATATCATTGCTCATCAATGACCGTTACAGCANTCTTCCAACATATTTCGAATATCTTCATGTTTGCTACTACAAGTGTTAGTTTACCTGTAAAACAAAGAAAGACGGAGTAAAATGATATTTAACATCCGTACATCCGATATCATTGCTCATCAATGACCGTTACAGCATTCTGTTTAATTTATCAACTGATTGGATTACTTATTGTTCGAGTCATAGTAGACCAGTAGGGCAAATATTTTTCCAGTTTGCTTAGATTCTCCGCGGGTAATATTCAGGTAATAAATAACAGCTAACTGCGGTAATGATTTAATAAAACGAACTTGTGTAACAAAGAAACAACAATGTAAATTTTTGTCAAGTGAAACAGTGAATCAAAAAAAGGCTTCTTTGTTATGTCATGTCAGTATTTTTCAAACGTAAAAGAATGTTAAATTACGAATTGCTGTACTTTATCGGCATTTTTTTAGAGCAAAAGATGCGATCATTCAACAATTTCTGAAAATTTCCAGTGAATCGTGGAAGAGATGTATGCGAAGCCGTTGCGAATAGCATTCTACTGAATCCAAGCAATCCCATTATGCGTCGCAATAGGCTTTTCTATTCAAAAACATACCAAAATGATGATCTTTTCAAACCTTCTGGTGTAAGTTTCCAAGTGATCATATTGAATCTCTCCTGTTTTTGATGAGATATTAAAAGCTCCACTGAGCTATCATACATACATCTTTCGTGTAGTTTGCTATGATTGCAGGAAATTGTCGAATTTCATAAGCGATATGCAATTGAACGATTGTTCTTGGAGTTCGTCGATGAACGTTTCAAATTCGAAAACAATGAGGTAAAAATAATTTCTATTTGCAATCTCTAGAGATCATAGCAGATTCCAGTTATATTTTGCACTTCCACTAAGACATCAAAAAAAAAGCACAGGAAATTATCCAACAGATAGCTTTTCCATTACTATCAACATGAGTGGGAAGCAGAAACATCATTACGACGATTTGCAGTTATCCGCAGAAAGAGTAGATGACCGTCTTCCGCTGGAAATAAACGTACCTATTAATGATGATTTCGACTATTCGGCGATCGAAAGGGATATGTTCAGCGAGGGAGAATGCTCGGCACTGGCAATAGCGGCTATATTCGAAACAAGAACAGCACAACAGAAGCAATTATTAGTCGATCTGACTGATCGAATGGCATCACGATATAGAATCCAAACTTTATTCCATTCTCTCACTTGTTCTCCGGACATCACTGCACCAAAATGTCCTCACCGCGCACTCATTATTTCCATAGATCGTTCAAGTTGTGGTAAATTCCTAACTGATCCACAACCAAACTCCTGTGTCCTTATTTTTTGCGTTGGCTAGGAGATAATAATGACCACTTCCGCAATTTAATAACATGCATTTGCATAAAATAAAAACTCGACGGACCCAATGCTGTTCACTTACTCTGGTACTGCTTTTACTGATGTAGATGCGTTTGAGTAGTATTGCATATAATTCCTACTGAAATATTCAAAGGTATATAGCATGCGCACACACGTCAAATTTTTGGGTGCAAAAACCACCTCCACATTAAACTCTGTTAATCTTAAAAGAAATGAAACCTTAGACCCAAATCTTTGAACATAACCGTTTTGTCAGTCAACCGCAAATCGTACTCTCCGATTTTAAACATGGCACATAAGTGTAGCTTTGCACGACTGAAGCCAGCACCACTAAAGGGATGAAATGAACGATGACATTTAATTTAAGTATTATTTCCAGTGAGTCAAACATCAAATATATAAAATAAAATTTTTATCTCTTTGATCGGATGATTCTGCACAATGCATTCAGTGCATTAGAGTTACTAGCAAAAATTAATGAAAATTAGCAATCGAAACAAAAGTAGAGAGAAAAATTAATACCCGCAACACAATCTCCCATAACGCTGCATCCTTCTAAAGTACCGCGCATGCCTAGCATAACTGACAAGGAAATGCAGCAGAAAAGAATAAAAAGCATGTTCGCAAATTTCCAAGAAGTAAGACAAACGAAATTAATCAGTATAATTTTGAAAAGGTTTTATTTGTAAGACAACATCATTCAAAGGTAAATCTCTTAAAGTAGAAATCATCCCCAGAGATAAGGGTCAGTCGGTGCAACGCTTTCCCTGACGACGATTTAATTAAAATTAACAATTTGGAAGTGGATAACATGTGATTTAATGAATTACGGAAATTCAGAAACACCGCGAGACATAAATGACTCAGTGTGGCGTCGGTACATGGCCATCAACATAGAAATTTCTAGTTATTGGTGGCAGAGTTAATACGATATTTTCTAATTCTTTGGTTAAAGTAATTTGACATGAAAGACGAGAATTAGGCTTCAACGCGGGGGCCATATCCAACATATCATCCTCCGCTTCCTTTGCTTCGGGTAACTTCTGATAAAATTTCTCATCAACGTATACATGACAAGTTGAACAAGCACACGAAGCTTCACACGCTCCTTCAATATCGATTTTATGCCTTAAAATATGTATATTTACAGTTATGAACTTCACAAAAAAAATCTTTTGCGCTGCCCCTTAAAAGTTGGTTTTATGCTTTTTCACAAAGAACTTTTGATGAGGAATGATCTATTTTAAACTATGTTGATGTGTTCCTCGTCATGGTCTGCTATGTTCGAAAATTCTTCCATTTTTTATCTAAAAAAGCAGCAGGAAAATAGCAGAAAAGTTGCCGAATAAACAGAACTCTCAAATTTTACTATAAAATGCTTCATTTTTGGTTTTTGAACAATCCAAATAACTCCCTAGGAAGAAAAACCCTTGTAATTAAACAGAAAAAAGCATGCCATAACTGATTAGTTGTTTCTATGAAAAAGCCCAGAATTAGCAGCTTCAAGTGGATACCTGTGTGCTAGATACATCACATTATCACCAACTTTGCCTTTCACTTTCTTCACCGCTCCGTCGTGTAAAATGAAATTGACATGAATGATCTCGCTTTCCGATGTTGCATCCTGATATTCATATTCTCCGCTCTTGAGAAATGCACCCATATGGAACGGTACCAACATCATTCTTGTTAACGATGATATTCGTAGCAATGCCGGTAGCATATTTCTTGAAAATTATATGGATAAAAGGAAACATATTTTTCAATACCAGATACACAGCTCTTGCAAAAATAAAGTCTTTGATTAATCATGAAAGGATTTCAAATCTCATAATTATTTCAGACTTTTCTCTGGACTGCTAGCTGTTTTTCACATGTTTATTATAAACTAACAAACTGAAGGCTAAAGAATATAAGTTAAGTGTTTCCTTTTCAGCTATAATATTTTTTTTAACTAATATCCATTATTTTTGTTACAACTGGCTCGTATTAGTTGAAAACAACGGTCACTATCTACTTCAAAATCATGAAAACATGATCTACATATCTAGCGCAAAATCAACATATAATGTTTGAAAACGATATCACATACCTTATGTACAACATAAAAGAAGCATTAATTAATGCCTTCTGTTTAATGATTTTTCCTTGGCGATACCAACTCGAATACGTCACATCACATAAAAACTGAATATCTCAATAAAACTTCACATTAGGTGAACAATAACTATTCAAGATGTTCGATTAATGCATGAAGATTACTTGAACATTTTTTTGTGGAATTAATGAAGCTCAAAGAAAAGTATCACAGAAATACGCTTGCTTTATTTAATCGAACCGCAGGAATCCCGCCACATGCGCATGTCCTCGCCCCGAAAGGAACCGTAGAACAAATGCGTAAATAACTCACAATGCAACCTCCTTGTCTTAACGCAATTCTCGTGTATATTCTATGAGCGGCGTTAACAGATTCAGTATTGTACTAGTTACCTTATTAAGATTGTTCAATGGCCTTCTCATAACTCATCTTTCATTCTCATTTTCATCCGCGAGTTAAACAACAAACCACTAATTTTCCGCCGTTATCCATTCCTGATTCGATGTACAATCATACCGCTTTCCACGCCAAAATCAGTCATATTAACTGAATTTTTGACAGTGAGCATGAGGATATTCTCTCTATTTCGAAAATTGAATACTATATTTAAACATGCTACGTTGCATTGAAATGAAAAAGTAAATATTGTTACGCTTTATACTAGCTTGAGTTTTAATCGTTACTTTTTGAGAGAGGGCAAATGATATACGAAGTTTATTACGATAAAAAAATTGTCCGGTAGTTTCATTAGAAATTTTCGTTGCGACATCTTGAATCTGAATTCTGAAGCATTAATTTTTTCACTATTCTTAGGATTGGATAGCAGAATAGATTTAGCGTTCTTTTGGGCCTATAAGATTTGATCGATTTCTTATCGTTCCTTATAAGCAAAATTTTTGATACGTTTTGGGCTTTTGGTTTTTATTTTCTGTCATCAAATGTCAACTTTACTTGCTTTTCTCACCTCTGCATTTTTCGCTTTTTTTAGAAATTTAATTTTAAGAAATTCAAAAACCATAACTTTAATATACCGTTTTCTTCCTCTTAAAAAATTTAACGATAAAATTAATAATATGGAAACGAGGGGATAAAGTGGAAGGGTCGAGAGATGGGAGCTTTTTTGGGTGCCTCTTTCGTCTCAAGGGTGCTTTTTCTTTTTCGTTGAGTACCTTTTTGTTTTAAGCATATTAGTGTGAGTTTAAATGGAATAAAATTTGCCGTTTCCTGTTTCACTGCTTAGCTGTTAATGATTACAATACAGTAACTTCTGCAAGCTAACTAACATGTATACAGTTCCACAGTTGCATCGCTACCAATAAACCTATAACCTGCATTATGATCCGGAACTCCAGCATTACGTCAGACCGGTTCAGCCCTTTAACAATACGTGTTAATAGCTTCCATCCGTTATCTATCGTCAACCTCAGCTGGCCATACTTCTGTAACAAAATGGCTATTCATCTGCCGACCTGTGAAAGTGTTTAATTTTAACGGTCCTGAAATGGTCTTTGGTTTTCCCACATTCTTAAATTCGATGGTGGACGGAAGACGGGGGAGCGGTTCTATAATTCGGAAGTTTCTTCGTTTCTCTAACTTTCTCGAGGATAAGTATATAAGTAAATGTAGTTGTTTACGGGTGAATGTGGACAGAATATCTTATACCAGAATAAAAAGGACCATTTTATCCACTGCTATACTCACTGATATCCCTCACTTTGATATCACTCCTCTCCCTATTGACGTTAGTTACGATATCACCAGTCATTTGCCTAGATGAGTAGTTGCCCACTCTCTGAGCTTTTTCTGCAGATTTCATAAGATCATATACTTAACTTGAAGGTAAATAAATACATTGTAGATGTGGCAGTTTTGTGCGATACTCTTTGCTGCATGGTTTCATTACTGCATTGCTTATGATACTGTTATTCTTTCAACTCTGAATCTGAAGTAAGTTTCAATCTTCGATGCTTGTCGACACTTGTCATTATGCAGCATAAATTGCGCTTCCCTCTTCCGAAGATTAGAAAAAGTTACTGAACCGTTTAGCCTTTATGATCGAATATCCGGTTTGAGTTCTCTCAGATCTGACGCGCGCAATTTTGGGTGGGGATAGAGAGGTGGTTTACATTATATAATGAGAAGATATCCCCAGCCGTGACTTGACAACGCCTGGTCATCGCATTCTCTATGCGTAGCAAATCTTGCGGTGGCAAAGGTAAGTCATGATTTTCACAAGATATAATAAATGCTAAAACGTCATGTTTCATTTAGAAAAATGACAGTAGAAGACCTGGCAGTATCCTCAAAAGTACTGGCTATTGGTATTAAGGATTTCTCATTACCAAATTTTGGCATATATGCCCAAGCCTATCGCGCCGAAAACTCTGATGCCCCTTTTGCATCAGTAATGCAGATCTTCCCTTATCAGAAAGCGCTTCCAATGGAGAATCCATTAATGGTGAACTTTGCCTTTTTTTTTAAAATTAAAGCAATACGAGGGTAATTCTTTCCCTAACGAAAGATTTCCAGAACAAACGATGGTAGTGTTCATAAAGCAGAGTACCATTTAGTACATAAAATAATTAGTATCATTCCCTTTTTTGATACTATCATGGGAGGATGTAATTAGTCGTATAATTTTTATTCCCATGTTATGCAAAGGAATCCTCTCATTTTCTTAAATACAAACGAATTTATTACGTTTTATGGATCATACCATTTGTATTCTGTTATGTTTTTGTATAGCAACTTTTCAGGTGACTTCTAACAATGGCGATGTTCATAAATCAGCTGTTGGTGTAGACTACATTACATTTGATAGTTTTGAAGATTTGCATGATCTTCTAGCATCTAATGAGAATTTTAAAGGCTATCAGACAGTTGTTATTTCTTCTCAGGATGCTTTCGAAAAAGAATTGGTTCGTTTCTTTATTTGTTGTACAGTATATGGTAGAATCGTTGTATCGCCTTACTTTCCATTACGGTAATCATTGCAGATTCGTCGCAAGCGTGTTTCCTCGGATGTTAGTTTTGATGACGTGCTATCATCTGATGAAGTTCCGAAAGCAAATAGTCGACAGCGGTTATCTGCTGCAGATCGTGTAATTTTTTCTTTATCTCAACAATTTTAAGAATTCGTTAGTACATAGTCCAATATAGATAGTATTTTTTATTTGATATCATAATGCAGCGATGAGGGATTGAAGTGTCTGATTGTATGCGTTGTTTTCCAAATTAACCAGATATAAGATCTACTGTCACTTCTGACCTGGATGATTAGATTATTTTAGTTAACATCTATTTTGTTTCCTCAGCATGTGTATGGGTGTAGTTTACGCCATTCTAGAATTTCTTTTTTAACATCCATGAGTGAATAGATATAATAACGTTATTTTTATTGTTAAATCGGGATAATCGGGAAAATATAGAATGTATGGAACTAAAATGACAAATTTCTCTTTTTAAGTTTAACAGGGATTATGCGCGTCGAAAATTAAGACGGCCTGTTTACAAGGTTATCTGATGTTCTTAAAGATTAATGCAGGTTTTTGGGCAAAATATCGATAAGTTGTCGTACTTGTGACAGACTTTCCTGGTTTTCTAAACCAGGTTTGATACTGTTCAGGAAAGTTGAAAAACAGGCCGACTATCCAT